CACACACACACACACACACACACACACACACACACACACACGGATATGTCTGCAGGACCTGATCAGACACACACACGCGAACACGTCTGCAGGACCTGAACACACACACACACACATAAACACGTCTGCAGGACCTGAACACAAACACACACAAAAAAACATGTCTGCAGGACCTGAATACACACACACACACACACACACACACACACACACACAAACACGTCTGCAGGACCTGAACACACACACACACATAAACACGTCTGCAGGACCTGAACACACACACACAAACATGTCTGCAGGACCTGAACACACACACACAAACAAACACGTCTGCGGGACCTGAAAACACACACACACATGAACACGTCTGCAGGACCTGAAAACACACACACACATGAACACATCTGTAGGACCTGAACACACACAAACTCAGTCTGTGGTTTCCATGTTGCTCCTCCAGGACCCTGGGCCCCTCCCCCCCTCCCCCATCCTGGGCCAGAAGCCGCTGCAGCTGCTGGAGATCAAAGCCAGGGGGCGCTTTGGCTGCGTGTGGAAGGCTCAGCTGCTCAGTGAATATGTGGCTGTCAAGATCTTCCCCATACAGGTCTGTACTGACTGTTTGTTACTGACTGTTTCTGGTACTGACTTTCTGTTACAGTAACTGTCTGTTCACATGTCAACACTCACCTGTCAGTAATGTGAGAAACAATTGATCATGTGACTGCAGCTGTCCATTCATACATGATGGACAGAGTCTAGGAGTTACTGATGTCATTAGACATTAACATCTGCACAAGAACATCAGTAGAGGAACATCTGTACAGGAACATTTACATTTACGACACGATCTACAGAGACTGAATATGAACACAGACCATGATTGGACAGATGTGATCTGGTCGTCATGATGATGTCAGGACGTAAAGTGACTCAGCTGTTTGTTCAGAAACACGTTAAACCAACAGATGGAGATTCATTATTCAGCTTTTATTTTGTTGAGTCACTTCACTTCCTCTCTGCCTGGTAGAGAAGGTTCTGTGGTCCAGACCTGGTTCCAGTTCAGAACCTCCCCCACTGCTGTGTGTGTGTTTAGACTTAAGGCTCGCAGCTTTAATCCCCCTGAGGCTGACTGTGTCCTCAGCCAATCAGCATCCAGTAAACCCAACATGACCTCAATCAAATACACTTGCTCACACACACACACACACACACACACTGTGGCATCAGTCAGATGAAGGTTGTGTTCATCAGTTGTGAGTCTTTGCTGCAACCACTGAGAATAAAAACAACACAACTACAAAACAAGGGAGTAAACAACACAACAATAACACTCTGCTCATGACCTCTGTGTCCAGGACAAACAGTCGTGGCAGAATGAGTTTGAGATCTACAACCTGAACGGGATGAGACACGAGAACCTGCTGCAATTCATTGGAGCCGAGAAGAGAGGAAGTAATGTGGATATGGAGCTATGGCTCATCACCGCCTTCCACGACAAGGTAACACTGACACACACGCACAGACACGCACACACACACACACACACACACAGCTGATCAAAGATGAGTCAGAAAACATTAAAACATTTTATTTTAAGTTTTAATTGTTTCATTATTATTATTATTATTATTTATTTATTATTAGATTAATATTTTATCTTTATAAAGCTCATGTATTAACTGATGTTGATTTGATCATTTAAAATAATGAAGAAACTAAAACATAAATATTTTTTAAAAACCTGAGACTTTCTGTGTTCAGGGTTCTCTAACAGATTACCTGAAGGCCAACGTTCTCTCCTGGTCTGAACTCTGTCTCATCGCTCAGTCCATGTCCCGAGGTCTTGCCTACCTGCACGAAGACATACCTGGACACAAGGATGGACACAAGCCTGCCATTGCACACAGGTACACACACACACACACACACACAGGTACAGGTACACAGGTGTCCAGAGAGCTGTCAGACAGGACGTGTCACTCTGTGTTTTTCAGGGACTTTAAGAGTAAGAACGTTCTGCTGAAGTCCAACCTGACCGCCTGCATCGCTGACTTTGGCCTTGCTCTCAGGTTTGAGGCGGGAAAATCTCCAGGAGACACCCATGGACAGGTGAGTTCACCTGGGAGGAACGCTGACGTCTTTGTCTCATCCCCCCTCCCAACTCCAGACCTTTGACCCAGGTGTGTCCCCGTCTGTCAGGTGGGGACCAGGAGGTACATGGCCCCGGAGGTCCTGGAGGGAGCCATCAACTTCCAGAGAGACGCCTTCCTGAGGATCGACATGTACGCTCTGGGTCTGGTGCTGTGGGAGCTCGCCTCACGCTGCAAAGCTGCTGACGGTAACAAGCACCAGCACTCTGTGTGTGTGTGTGTGTGTGTGTGTGTGTGTGTGTGTGTGTGCGCGCATGTGTGCGCGTGTGCTCGTGCATGTGTGAGCGCATGCATGTGTGACCCAGCTGAGGAGATGAAAACATGATCAATAGTCAGATGTGAACAGCAGAAACACTCAGTGAGTGTGATGAACAGAGAACAGGGCCACCTGGTGGTTGTTAGACTTCACTACACCACAACAGTGTCCACCACATTTACACCAGCTGCTGTCTGCTGGTGGAGAACCATCTCAGTCCCCCTTGTCTCTGGTCCAGGTCCAGTGGACGAGTACATGCTGCCATTTGAGGAGGAGGTGGGTCAGCATCCGTCTCTGGAGGACATGCAGGAGGTGGTGGTCCACAAGAAGCTGAGACCGCTGCTCAGAGAGTGCTGGCAGAAACACGCTGTGAGTCTGACTACATTACCCAGAATACACCAGCCTGTACTCAATACACTGTGTATACTGATGTGGACTACATTACCCATAATTCCCAGTATGTCTGATGTGGATTTGCTGGTCCCCCTTCAGGGTCTGGCCTTGCTCTGTGAGACCATAGAGGAGTGCTGGGACCACGAGGCCGAAGCTCGGCTGTCGGCCGGCTGCGTGGAGGAGCGGGTCGTGCAGATGCAGCGACAGACGAGCGTCACGGCGCCAGAGGAGATTGTCACGGTTGTCACCATGGTAACTAACGTGGACTACCCTCCTAAAGAGTCAAGTCTATGACGAGGCTCAGGACCAATCAGGACGGAGCAGGGACTCCCTCAGTGAACACTGTCTCTGATGGCGGACGTAGCCGGTCAGGTGACCTGCCGGCGGTCAGATGACCTCTGACTGCAGGTGAGTCTGGGACTGATAAGGACAACATGGCGGAGTTTCTCTCTCTCTGGTCAGTTCCTGTTTTTTACTGCAAAATAAAAGACTTTTTCTACGATAATGTGAGGATAATTTCAGAATAAAAGGGCGACTTGAGTTTTTATTCACATGCTGTTTGTTTCTCCGACGTGATGCCAATAAGAAACAGCTTCTGAATGTCTGTGTCACTGCTGTGTACATATACAGATTATTATTATATACATATATACAGAGTCTAATAATCAGGTTATTGATCACACATCAAACATACAGGAAGTTCCTTTTCTTTCTCTGACGTCTGGTTCTTTAACATCGGAGGAGAAGCTGAGTCAACGTGAACACTGATACAGACGATCAACAGTCACAACAGAGACACTGAGCTCCTATCAGAATCAATAATCAATAATCATCCATATATTCACCGACAATCCAAACATGATGTTAGTTTACAGTCTGTTCAGTCGTCCAGTTTCTCCTCATCAGAACCAATCGGGCTGCTGATCAATACACTGATAACTGATCAGCTGTTGAGGAGAGAAACCCCTGAGACAGTGAAACACTTCCTGTTTAGTTTGCAGTGAATATTGACAGCATGCCTTTATTTGTGTTTGACAGTTTTATTTTGAAATCTAGTTTTCTCCTCTTCCTTCCTGTCTGTGGTTCATTCAGATTCTGTGGAGCCTCAAAACTAACGAGGTTTGATTAAAGTTATTGACCAGAATATTATTTATTTATATAGAAGAATGAACATTACAGGAAACATGGGACTGGACTGAGACCTGGACTTCAGAGGGGGCTGTTCTCAGACCAGTCCAGGTCTCAGTCCAGGTCTTATAAAGAAAGTGAAGATGTGTCACTGAAATCAGATAAATCTTATTATTACTAATTATTGAACTAATTAATTTATTGATGAATAGTTCTTCCTTGCGTTGAGGCTCCAAATGTTTGGTGGATTTTTAATCCAGATCCAGAATCTGTGGGTTCTGAGATGATCCACCAACAGGGAGGCGTTCAGGGCCCTTTAGGAACTCTGAGCTCTGTAGTTCAGATGGACTGTGTTGACATAGACAGAGATCAGCTGTCTCCTAATCTAATACCTGACCCCAGACAGGAACCCCCCCCCCCCAGTTTGTACATATGAATGTTGTTTCAGACGTGATTTTAGCATGAGTTTGTTTTTTTATGGACAAGAAACAAAAACAGAGAAAAAGTTCTTTATAATGTTGAAAAGAAACACGTTTTATATGATGGTGATGATGATGATGATGATGATGATGATGATGATGATGATGATGATGTACGAATGAAAAACAATCTGGTTCATTAATATATGTTGAAGCTCCGAACAATAACTTTCTGGGCAGAAGGTGTGTGTGTGTGTGTGTGTGTGTGTGTGTGTGTGTGTGTGGTGGGGGGGGTGTCCGTCATTGATCAGTCATCGATCAGTTACTGAGACAGACAAAAAACTTTGACTAATTATTTAATTATCAGAATAATTTCAGATGAATTTTCTGATAATTGGTTAATTGATTAATGGATTAACTGTTGCAGCTGTAGTTTTTATGCACAGTTATTAAGCCTAGGTTGTGTCAGTAATAGCTGCAGCAATTAGTCGATCAATTGATCAACAGATTATTGATCATTATCCTGATAATTGATCTGATGATTTGCTGCTTTTTCTCCTCGATATTAAACAGAGTTTTCAGGTTCAGAATAATAGATGATTGATGAGCTGATAGATTGATGATAATAATCGGTGTGTGTGGTGACAGCTTACTGTGTAACATCACTGGTGTTCTCATTGTTTTTCTCCAGATTCATGAAGCAGTATCAGAACTCTGTGGTTCCTCAGTGGAGAACAGAGAACACTGATGAGATGTTCCATCAAACCTATTGATTATTAGAGTTAATCAGTGATCAGTTGAAGAGTGTGAACATGTGTAAAATCATTACAGGTCAGTCTGTCCAACAGCAGAAACACAGTAAAGACCAGTGGAACCAGTGATGGTTGCCACAGTGACACTGAGGCGTTTGTTAGATGCTGAGATGTTGAGGAAGACTATCTGCTCTTCATCACCTTTTATATTCAATGTGACAATTTTTTATTTATCCCCCCACATGTGTGAGAGCATCTGTCAGAGGCGACTGTTGAATATTGTACAGAAGAAAATAAAGTGCTCTGCTTTGGTTCTGTTGTTTAATTTAAGACAAAACAAAAACCTACAAACAAAGTAAATACAAATTCAGATTTCTCTTTTTTTTTTTAAATGCTTTATTATTCAAACCACTGTCTGTTTCATCTTATTAAAACAATTAAATAATGAAAATGGTGGAAACAATCAGAACTGCGATAAGATATATCATAAAAAAAATGAACAATACCTACAAGTAATGATCTCAGAACAGCTTCTGCCTCTTTAAGGATCTGATGCCCATTTCATTCATCATGTATTTTCCCGCCCTCTAGCTTGTCTCTGAAGCTTGTTTGACTTCCAGCTGTTTAATCGATAGTTTCTGTCATTTTCGCGGGTGTGACCAAGTCCCGTTCACAGAGGCTGGAGCTTGTCAAGTGGAGAGGACAACAGCTTTATTCGTAGGTTTGCGCACTGAGGATAATCCTGGATCTTTGACTGGTGATTAGCTTTGGCAAACTCTCGTTCACTTGGCTTCTACCGTTACGGATCAGTTGTGATATTGCAGCACAATACGCATGCGCAGACGTGTGTGGAAACGGAACTTCCGCATTAAGAGTTAGAGGTAGCAGCAGCAGCAGCAGCAAGTAAACGGCTAATGAAGCTGATTTATCCTCTCTGTGAGATCTGTTGTAAATTACAGACAGAATATTGTTACAAGAGTAGAGCAGATGCTTTCAGGAATAGATCGGTACGTAGGTCGTGTGCGTAGAGAGAGAGAGAGAGAGAGAGAGAGAGAGCGGTGAGGCTAGTGACCGGAGCAGAGCTAGCTAGCTAGTTAGCAGTGTAGCTGTGAGTACAGTGAGCTGTTTGTCTGTAAATAAATGCTGCGACTCCTTCAGACTGAACTTCCCGCCGAAGAGTCTGGACACTGAGAACCTTGTATTGACTCTAAGTTATTATAAAACTAAAGGAACGGTGCTACTCCAGGGAAACCAGACCAGTCTCAGCCTGTTTGAGAAGATGTTTCACCACCTGAAAACACAAATAGACACCAACAGATCCAGCTCAGCAATGGGCCCAGAAGACACCATCGACCCAACAGACACAGAGAAGTCAGAACAGAAAGGCCCTAACTGCAATCACCCCTCAACCCTGACTGATAAACTGAGAAAAAGCCTGTCTTCACTGGAACTGAAGAATCAAGGGTGGTGATGTCCACCCCCCTGCCCCGTACAGACACCCCACTTCATGTCATACATGACATTAACATGGAGATCACCCGGAACTGCTCCAGCCTCCCCAATGGCCACCTGGCACACATGCAGTAACACCATCAGCACCTGGCATTTATATGACGGGCTGCACCTCAACAGAGAGAAACACACCATCACAGCCCAGCCCTCGTCACCCTGCTCCACCCCACCATCCCCATCCACAGCCTCCTGCACCCCACACCCAGAGAGACCCCTCCTGTCAGCGGAGCTCCCATCCCTCAAGAGCAGATGACCTATGCTACTGCTCTGACCAGCCCAGCTCCTCAGCCTGCACCCCCACACCTCAGAGCTGGAGGAGTTCAAGCAGATGCTACACAACCTGTGCAGTGGACTACTAGTAAGCTAGATATAACATCAGTCATCCATCATATTGGTAGATAGGCAAATAGAATTTCATGTTCTTATATTAACATAGTGTGGTTCAATCTCAATTTTCCATTTTTTCCACATATTTATTTATTTGATTTATTTTTTAAATCTCTTACTGTTTTACAATTTAGACCATCTTTCATATTTAGATTAGATAATTAATATAATCAATATCAATATATTTCACTGTAATAGGTTCTTCAAGCATAAGCTGTTGGAATATACAAGTCTTTACTCCTCAGTCTTTGGTCTGAAGAGTAAAACCTCTGATTTTGTAAATAGTATAAATAATTATAGCATCCCCAGAAAGATGATGGTCGGACTCTTTGACTGATGTTTCATGAATTTATTAGAATCCATTCCACACCGTAAGAGCTGAGGGAAACACACAATAAACAATTAATGGAATATACATTCACCAGGATACCTCTATCAAAGAAAAATAACAAACCATGAAATGAAACTTTAATCACATTCATACCTTGTTCACTCACCGACTGAGGTGCTAAATCCTCATAGTGTGGACATCTTCACAGTAGATAGTCGTCAGTTATGAGGAGCAAAATTACCTAAGACGAGTCTTTATGCACTTTAAGACCAAAGTTGTCATAATAAAACAATTGCAACTGCCTTTACCACGTTATGTTAAGACATTTATCTTTGTGCGAAAAGCTTCTCCTTCCTGTGACCAACATGTCTGGGCAGACTGCATATAACCGAAGCACCTATCTAGGCAAGTTGTTGACTTCCGCTAATGGAGTTTCAAAATAAAAGCTCAATTTTCACAAATAAAATCTCTGTTTTACATGCAAACAAGAAAACCATATTGTAATAAACTAAAACATGTGCAAATGTGTGCAGTGCTTACAAATACAAAATAAAACTAATGAAACTAAAATACAGGGTCATTTACAATAATAATGATATCATAGTCTTATCAGAAACATGGTGTGAAGCTGATGTACCCACACACTGCCCTCCGAACTACAGAGAGATTATTGCCCCTTCCCAGAAATGATCTACTGTGAGTCAAGGCAGAGACTCAGGAGGACTCATTATATGGTACAAATCAAATTTACACAATTCACTACAAATTCTCAAAATCTGAAAAAAAACTACATTTGGCTGAAAATAAAAAGAGATCTTATCTCTACACAGAAGGATATATATATATGTGCTGTTTACATTCCCCCATTTGAGTCCCCTTACTTCTCTGATGACATATTTCCCTGCCTTGAGTCACACATATTTCATTACCAGGGGCAGGGAAATATAATAATCTGTGGTGATTTTAACACCCGCACTGGTGCACAACCTGAAGTAGTAGTCAAGGAGACAGTTTTATCACCCAGCAAGCTCCTACTGTTCACCTACACCTGCGTCCTAGAAACAACTTTGACACTGTGATGAACAGTGATGGGAGGGAGCTGTTACAACTCCGTAGAAGCCTCAGTCTGTATATTATCAATGGCCAGGTAAGAGGGGACTCTTTGGGAAGGTTCACTTATTGTTCAACTCGTGGCAACAGCACTTTAGATTAGTTGATCACAGACATGGACCCCTTCTCTTTCACTACATTCAAGGTCAAGCCCCAAACCCCTTTATCAGACCACAACCAATTCACCCTCTTCCTCAAACACAACAATATCACACACTACAAAACCCAGCAAGCTGTTTAACATACCCAGGACATTGAGATGGACCAGAGACAGCACTGAGCAACACCAAGAGGCAAGCAATAGTGAGGAGATTCAATTATTACTAGAAGACTTAATAGAATACCCCTAACCTCCCTCTACTGAAGGCATATGTGAGGCTGTCCAAAATATAAATTACATCTTCAAGAAAACAGCAAATAAAGCTAAACTGAAAAAAAAAGAACTGCTGATTTGACAAAGAATGTCAAAACCTGAAAAAACAAGTTATAAAATGATCTAACCTGAAACACAGAGATCCTACAAACCATCATATATGCCTTGAGTATTGTGAGGCACTTAAGACATAAAAATACAATCAGAATCAAAAAGATAAAACATACTGAGAAACAGTTATGCCTACTTGAAGAGAGTATAGAGTCCAACTCCTTCTGGCTCCAGTGAAACTCTATCTGTCAGTCTGAGTCCCAGGAGCTGGTCATACAGGATGGAGACATATGGACGCAACATTTTCACACCTTATTTGAGCCAACACCACCAGGAACTGACTTAGAAACCAAACAAATACTTGAAAAACTACTAAATATGGAATTGATATTCAAAGCCAACCACAACCCCCTAGATTTCCCCGTTATTATGAATGAAGAATAAGAAAACTGAAGACCCAGCAAAAAAGCATGCGGGCCTGATGGGATTCTAAATGAAATGCTGAAACACAGCACAGAAAAATTCCAATTGGCTATTCTAAAATTATTCAACCTAATTCTGAGTGTGGGATATTTTTCCTCAGAGTTGGAATAATGGTCTTATTACACCTGTATTTAAAAGTGGAGACAGAGATATGTGTCAGCTGTAAGGACAAGCTGCTCTGCAGCATCATCAGCTCCCGTGTAGGTGAGTTCCTCAATGAACACAATGTCCTGCATAAAAGTCAGATTGGATTCGTGCCTAACCATCGCACATCGGACCATAGCTTCAGCCTCATGTGCACCAAAATAAGAATAAAATATATTCATGTTTTGTAGATTTTTAAAAAGACCTTTGGTTGTATTTGGCATGAAGGACTCTTTCATCGACTATTAGAGAGTGGCGTAGGAGGTAAAACCTATGATCTAATTAAATCAATGTATTTGAATAACAGATGTGCAATTAAAGTTGGAAACAAAAGAACCACTAACTTCAAAGATCAGAGTCCCCTCTGCCAGCTGCTGCTTAAGCTCCGCCCACACACACCGAAAACAATCTGGCCCAACCAAATCATCTCAAAACAAAGAGAAAATTATATCAAATATTGGAATGAAACCAAAGCACAAAGTAAATTAGAATTCTATTTGACCCTGAACAGAGAGTACATGGCGGCAGAGACCTGACCACCGTGACTGAAAACTAAGGAAAACGTTGACAATGTACAGACTGAGTGAACACAGCCTGGCATAGACACAGGCCGTCACAGCCAGAACAGGCTCCTTTAATTAATAATTAAAGATTAATTATACATTTAATGTTCCAGTTTTAAGAGAAGGGTTCCTTGCTGTTGTTCTTTGGTAAAAACATAAAACTCTGCTCCATAAATTTAATGTCACATTCTTAAGTTTCAGTGACATCATGAGCAGCATGCCAACGAACAACCAATCAGGGACCACTAAACATGAGACCACCTGGTCAGCCACTAACCATCTGACCTGTGAACCCACCTTATCCCAGACAGAGATAGAGAGACAACCCCCCTCTTCCCTCAGTGGCTCAGAGTTGAAGGAAGTAAAACCCAGATTGTTAAATTGTCCAGACTAAAGTCTTTTACTGCACTGACACTGTGTAAGTTACTGTCTCTGACTGTCTCAGTCTCACCTGTTCCACCTACCTGACTCCCACATCCACCTGTTCTCTATTCTCCAATCATCCGCCACAACACACCAGCCCATTCAAACCAAACAAGGGCTGAGAGCCTTCATCCTCCACCTGTTCAGGTCTACCTGACTGTTCTACAGAGACAGTTTGATGGGACCTGATGGAGTGAACAGAATGGAAGGTTACATGTGTAACCCAGGTTCTCTGAGTGGAGAGACTCTCTAATATGTACGGGGGTCACTTCCCATACATATGGAATATGTAGGGTGGAGAGATAGAGAATATGTTGAGGAAACATCATCATGAGCAAAGATTTGATTTTGATATTTTATAGTCTGACATGTTAATAACAATCTGACTCTCTCAGCCTGTATTTGATCATAACCATCACATCAGCGTTTGTGATCCACAGTCCAGCTCCATGTATTTACAGGTTTGCTCTTCAAACACAAACCACACACACTGATTCTGTCTCTTTATGTTAAAGCACAACAAAGTCACAAACTCAGTGTGACTGAAGTCTTTATTAGCTCTTCAACTTAACTTTATTCACACAGCATCTTTCAAACAAACATGCAGCTACAGTGCTTCACATAGCAAGAAGACTTTTATTGAACAGTGTTCTGCTGCCAGCAGGTTCCATGTTCTAAAGACTAGTGTTCCAGTACTGTCTATTAGAACTCAACACTGAGTTCTTATGGACCATCATCAGTCCTGGACACAGAGCAGTGATTAGTCTGTTTTAACCCAGTCACAGCTGTTTACTGTCTTTATGCAGGACAACACACTTTTAAAATAACATCTGCAGTCAACAGCTGGACAAAACAAACACAATAAATACAATAAGTTAAATAAGAACGCAAGGAAATGTTCAGTGATGATGTGAGATGAGAAGTGTCAGAGCAGGAAGTGATAGACACTTTATTATCAGGCTGCTTCTTGTTGGAACCGATGACCCGACCTTTCAAAATAAAAGCTATACCTTCTGATGAGCACCAGTGTAATGTACTGCTGGTCCTCCACATCAGCTCTGTCTCATGTATATGACATATTGTGTATATATATAGACAGATGTAGATGTGAGCAGGTGTTACTTTCCTCACCTGTATGATCTGTTTATCTACAGATTAATGAAGACACAGAATGAACTTCATCATCAAACAGCAGTAACAGCCCTGACAGGTGAGCACTGAACACCCACACCTCACTGTCCTGCAGGTAAGGTCTGCATGTTGTCGATGAAGTCGTCTCCGAAGTCGACGATGAGTCTCAGAGCACTCAGGATCAGAGAGTCCACTTCGTCATTGATCTGGATTTCTTGGCTGTAGTTCTTCACTGGACAGATGCAGTTCATTGGGATTCCCACTGCTGAGCTGAAGTCAGTCATCTGAAACAACATGTGAAGCTGGAGCTCACAGAGGAAAACATTCAGGTCTCAGTCACTGACGCACACTCACCTTTTTCTTCAGGTGTTTGCTCATGTAGACGTTCTTCAGATCCTTCTCGATCTCAGCACACGCTGCGTCGATGTTGGTCACAATCGCCATCTGAGGAATTGCTGCAGATACAGAAACCCGATCAGAATTTTCAGGAAGACAACAGCTGAACTTTAGTCAGTAACACATGTTCAATGAGAAAAGGGTTGATGAGTGATGTATCACAGACGGTCACTGTGAGTAAAGTCTGTCTCCCAGTCGATCACTAGTGGTCCTCTGCACTCTTACCCAGGTCACTGGCTGTCTCTCTGATGGCCTTCATCTTCTGCAGAACTGAACCCTTGATTTCTGCTGAGTTTGCAGAAAGCACACAAACCAGGATGTGAACCCTGTCGTCTGGAGAGGGCGTTGGGTTGTAGCCATGATCGCGCTCTGACAGTGGAGACAGCGGGTTGAACTAGAAAACAGTGAATAGAAACACCAAGCTGCTTCACTTAAGAACAAAGACACAGAATAAACACGACTTTGCTTCAAGTTTGTAGGAGAGCTGTGCACTGTGTTAGTCACTATGTCGCTAACACAAACTGTAGGGATGTGTGCTCAGCTGCATCACATCTTTAAGCAGCAGGACTAAAGAGGCAGCAGCTCAGGGGTTAATTCCTTAAACTGATGTTTCAGCACCAGCCTGACGTCTTTACAGCTCAAAGACTAAACCACATCAAAATAAAGCTTCCTGTTCACAGGAGAAGTCAGAAGAACAATCACAACAAATCAAATCTCTCTCCTATATCCTTCAGCCCCCCAGGGTCTTCTCTGCTCAGGGACTGATCATGTCAGGTGACCACCACAAACACTCACCTTTCACCTGATCCACAGTTATCTGTCATTCGACCCACACACTGACTGCTCCACTATTTCAGGCTTGAGGGACCACTGTCATGAGATCAGATCTGCCCTGCCCCCCTCCCAGATGTAGGAGTCCCTCCTGAATACCTGGTCCTGACAGAACCCCCTCTCTACCATCACCCCCTCCCTATGACCATCAACCTCCTTCAAGGTCTCTAACCAAAGGCTGGCTCTTCTGTCTGCCCCTGAAACATGGAGAAGTCCCTCATCGACACCTTGGCATCATTCAGTCCTCTTATAATCTTGTGATCTCACCTCAGCAGGCAGGTGGTGGACGTGGGTGGGTCGTGAGCTGATGCCGTTCACCTGAGCCTTCCATACAATAACAGCTGACCCATGTGCTCACTGGTTCTCTCCCACTGCTCACATCCATTTATTTTTGTATCATCTATTACTTTTGCACATACACATCCCCACAGCACAGACACCGCTCACATGTGCTGCTTTTATGACTGCACTTGGTTTCCACACCCCACTGCTTGTTTGTCTTAAGTTTTAATAAAGTGTTTGTCTCAGTATACCTTTGTGTGGACTCCCTTCTTGTCACATTCACTGAGCGAGTCTGTGACAATCTGCAGAGGCTGGAGTGAAGTCACACCACTGATAACTCATTTGATCTGCTCCATGGAGCCACAGCTTTTCCTGAACCTTGGGAAAGCTCATCACCTGGTTCACATCAAGGAGAGGAGGAAGTAGACAAATGTCTGCACCACACCTGTGGACACTGAATATCTGGAAACGCCTCTCAGTCTGACCCTTGGTCCAGCAGTGCTCTGAGCTCTAGTTAAATGTGTACTCCAGGACAAGCTGGACAGGTTTGGCTCTTTGGATGACATGCTGACTGAAGCAGCTGTTTCTCAAGGTTTAGAACTTTCATGTGTCCGAGGTTCGTCCCTGAGGTTCACTGTCAGGACTACTACAATAATGATGGACAGATGTCTTCATCTCCCAGAAAACTCTGGTGTGATGGCCGTCTGTAGATGAGGCCTTCTGGGAACTGAAGTAACGTTCACCCCTGTGCATTCTTCTCCTACCAACTATCTGATGATGGCCTTCAGTGAATGGAGCAACAAGAACTGCCTCCTTCTGAACACCTCCAAGACGAAGGAGATGGTCATGGACTTTGGGAGGTCTCGGCCCACCCTTCAGCCAGTCAACATTCGAGGGAAGGACATTGAGGTGTTACACACTTATAAATACCTAGGTGTGCATCTGAACAGTAAACTGGACTGATCCCTGAACACAGATGCCATCTACCTGCCATCTTCCTCAGGAAGCTCAGGTCCTTTGACGTCAGCAGTGAAATGCTGCACATGTTTTATCAGTCAGTGGTGGACAGTGTAACTCTTTAATGCTGCAGTCTGCTGGGGCAGCAGCATGTCTGACATGAACACGAGGAGACTGGACAAGCTGGTCAAAAAGGCTGGGTCTGTGCTGCAGGAGTCTGGACTCACTGAGGACTGTTGTGGAGAGACACATGCAATGTAAGATGGAGGCCATCTTGGACAATACCAACCATCCTCTCCACAACATTCTGGCAGGACAGAGAAGCAGCTACAGCTGCAGTAAACGTCTCATCTCACTGCAGGACAGAGAGGTTCAGGAGATCCTTTGTTCCCATTGCCATCAGGCTATACAACACCTCAGCCAAAGGAAGTGGACTAATCTAATTATTATTATATATTTATTATCAACTGTTTTTATTATTATTATTATTATATTATCAACAATGAGCTAATGGACACATGAATTTCCCCTAGGGAATAAATAAAGTATCTATCTATCTATCTATCTATCTATCTATCTATCTATCTATCTATCTATGTTAGAGAGGAACTAGGACAGTGGCAACTCCAAGCTGCTCAGCGCTAAGCTAGCTCTGGATGAGCGGACATGCTGGTTGGAGGGGGTGGAGCATTCATTTATGGTTTGGACTAACCATAAGAATCTAGAATACATCCACAACTGCCAAGAGCCCGAACCTCCTGACACCCAGGCTTCAGGAACATCAAGGAGTTCCTACTGCCGCCACATCACAGACCACTCCCACTTGCCCCCCAGTAAACTCTGTTCTCCTGCTGCTCCCCATCACACGATCTGCCTTCCTGTTCCCATTTCATCAGGACTACACTCTCATCCGCCTCTTCCAGTGTTTCAGCCTCAGCTCTTCAGCCATCTGTTTTCTGCTGGTTAGAAATAAAATGTTTCTTGAAACTTGAATAGATTCATCTGCAGCTAAAAAGTATTGTGAATACTATTCCAGTGTATCCCTCGAAAAATATCTGATGCAACATGGATAAGAAATGTGGAGAGTTTTCACTGATACAGTGACAGTTGTACCTTGTGACCTTCCCTCACTCGTCCCTTCATGGCCAGTTTGATGTCTTCAGCATGAACTCCAGAGTCCGACCCCTCTTCCAGCCCCATCACGTCGTTGAAGACAAAAGGGTAAAATGTCTTTGGGTTTCCTTTTCCTTTTCTGATTTTAAAAGTTTCATACTGTAACACACACACACACACACACACACACACACACACACACACACACACACACACACGCATGCACACACACACACACACACACCGTCAGAAAAGAACATGATTTCTCTGAAACACAGTTGAAATAATTCAAACATAATATGGATATCTGTTCTGAAAACTATAGAAATATATACTCTACTATTCTCCTTCACAGAGAACATGTATTTGAACTTAAATGTGTTGCTTTGTTTCTGATGCTTCATATTGGATTGTGCAGATTATCATGAATTTCACCATCAGAGGGTGAATGCAGGCTCTGGTGTTGACATCTGTGTTTCCACCAATTTTTTATGTCTGTGCAGACACTACGAAACAAGGGCACCGACTGTGCATGTGCTCCAACGGGTGATCTACTGCACACGTGTGGAACAAGCACAGTATGAATGAAACAACTAGAGTATAACTTCTTATGATGGAGGACCTGGTCTGTCGCACCAAAGCAGCTGCAACCGATCATTTCCCCAGTTGCACCCTGGTACCAGCAAGAGAGCTGACAGAGTGCCGACATTTCAAGCATTTGTCGGTTATTCCTGCACATTTTCTTCAAGTATTTATTTTGCTCTTGTTGATAAAATCAGTGAAGAAGTAGCAGAGTGACGGAAACAGAGGAGGCTCTGAGACGTCTGGTCAGACAGCAAAGTCTGAGACACATTTATATCCAACTAAACTGCAAAAGCAAATATGTTTTGAAGGAAATGTCATTGATTACATTTATTTTTAATGTAATGAGAAATGAAATATTGTTCATTTATATATGGCCAGTCACAAAACCAACATTAAAGGTAATTAAACCAGTGTTAACATTGTGGCTGATCACTGTGTGAACACATGAACTTGTAAGTGAAGGGAAAGATTAATCCATCTGCTGCTGTACACACCACTTCATTAGTGTTCATTTGTCCTCCTGAGCTGATTGACACAAATCTAAAGTTTTCTTACTCTTCTGGTGAAACTGGTGTCAGAGGTGGTTGAACTGGCCAGAGCAGGAATAGTCATCCTGCCCCAAAGGACATTGCTGACAGAGTTAATGAAGCTTGACTTTCCAGCTCCGACAGGTCCGTACAGAAGAACTCTGAGATGGGAGACATTCCCATTTTCAGGCTTGTACTCCTGCACATACTGAAGGTCCCTCTGTTTGTCTCTGTTAGAAATACATATAACTTTAGATTGAAATACAAACATTTATCATCATTCAAACATCAATAAATCAACAAACAAGAAAAGAAATATTGGACCCACTGGTTTGGTTTGATTCAGTGATAAAACTGAAAAATCATAACACATCTGTACGACCTGTACTGCTTGCACTACCGTATACTACCCTATACCCTACTACCCTCTTCTACCCTGCACTTCCTTCTGGAGCTGGAGCTAGACACACACACACACACACACACACACACACACACACACACACACCGCCACACACCGCCACAACTTAGTGACAATTTTCCCCAGTGGTCACTTGCCGTACTGTAACAAAAAAAAAACCCTGTGGTTCATCACTTTCCCCATTGACCTCCATTACAAAAGAGACGTCTGTTAAAGAGACTGAGCATGTGCAGTCGCAGAGCTTTTATCATTTTTATCTCATGAGTCCAGTGTCCAGTTCCTGTAACACACCCGTGGTCACCACACATGGTTCAGTAAACTCACCCCCAGGATATTGCCCTCCATGGCTGATCCAGATCTGAAAAGAAAATGAGTGATTAATGGTCTTACAAGAAGAACATTTAGTAAACCTGTCAACATGGTGTGCAACACTTTGACAGATTGTCTGAAAAATAAAATTTAAATATTGATTATTTGATGATTAATGAATGTATTCATGAGCTTGTTTTAATGTCAATTTATTTAATCCACACTGAAAGAATTTTCACTTTCAGTTTGTGTTGCGTTTGTTCAAAAGAAATTCATGATTCCCGGATGGTCTTATCAAGAGTTTGTGAAGCAACATTTGCTCTGAGACGTAAGTAAGAAGACGGTGAGTCTTTCCCTCAGTCAGTCAGATTGTTCTCGTTAGTTACAAACTGAGTTAATTCAAACACTGACACCTCACCCAGAATATGACTGTTGTTTTCTGTCATAGACACATTTTTAATCATCAGTAGCTACTTCACAATAAAAGCTCTCTGTGTTTACCAGCTTTAAGCTTTAATTGTGAAGCAGCAATGACTTCACACAGCTTCGTATACAGGATTGGTGTGGCATGTATAGATAAAAGCATGTTAGACGCAGTAACCCAGAAAACTGTTAAACTGTTTAATGTGGTGGCAAATAGTTTGCACCACAACATCTCACCTCATTCTTATTGTATATCAAAAACATATTTTCAAATACTCAATTATAAAGAGCTTCAGTGAAACAACATAAACATCAGTGTATCAGTCACAACAAAATGTTACTTAATCATCTGAATAGAAACTGAATAGTCCTTACTCAGTTTGTTTAGCTCGTCCACGACACGACGCTCCATCCTCTTCCTGTTGAAGTTCTGCAGCGATACAGAGAAAAGTGAAGTCAGAGGTCCCTCATCCTCTTTTACAGACCATGTGACTTAAACACACACACACACACACACACACAAAGTGAAAGTGAAAGTGAAAGTCACACTGATGTTTTACAGATTGCCGGCCGTTTCCTGTAAGTCACATGATAACAGAGGGAGGAACCTTCATATAAAAACTTGTTTGTCTCCAGTTTGCTTCAGAGCTGAGAGGACGACGACAGAGCAACAAGCAGGGGAGGATTCCACTCCTCACGTTAGTAACCTGTGCTGACTGTGAGGACTACAGACTGTGTGTGGCAGTGACTGATGAATGTATGTTTCTATCTGTCTTCATCACAGAGTCCAAAGTTCCTTCCAAAGCTGTTCTGTAAACAGTCCAAACAGTTCTTTTCTTCTTTTGTCTTGTGTTAGGATGACAGGACCCAAATGCAGTTCCCAGATTTATTAAGTAATGCAAACACCAAAGACTTACTGAACTGGTGAAACAAAAGCACACAAGGAGATTCCCGGCAAACTCGACAGAACTTGTCAAACAGAACTGACAAAGACAGAGGGGAAGACAAGGGGCTGAGGAAAGGAGCTGGGGGTCACATAGACAGCAGGGGCAAATGGGCCGGACAGACACACTGCTGCTCAGGAGGACGGACAAAAAGACGGAGCCATTCTGAAGGATGTCAGCAAGGATGAAGTAGGGATCATCGATGAATTAGGAAACAGGGAGCAGGAAATATCAGTAACTGTAGTTACAAAATTTTTGACAATGTAATTCTTCTGTATAGTTACTAAGTGTGTTTCCATCCACCTCTTTGTTCTTTTTGGAGAAAAACAATATCTTTAAAAACTGCTACGACATACTGGGTCACACACACAAGGGATTTCACATTGATCTGAATCTGAACTGTATATGGTTTGAAGTCTGTGTCAGAATCACAGGATGTTACACTGGGTTCTGTCTGAGTTCACTGTTGATCAGGCTGATGCTGTGTGGAAACAAACTGTTTCATCATGTCTGGTTGTGTCGGTTGGTGTTCAGTATCTGCAGCGCCTCCCAGTGGATAGTGGTGGAACAGTTCATGTCCAGGGTGTGATGGTCTGCACTGATGTTTACTCCCTGTTACACATGTAAATAATAAATACAAAGGCAGAGCATGTTTATCATCCGAACACCTTTAAGCAACAGGATTCACAGTGATTTACATAAAGTAACATAACAAGGCTTTAAAGATTAACATCATATTATCTGATATGACCATAAACTTATAAATGTACTTAAATCAGAATTTAGGTCTTTACTCACACACACTGTAAAAAAAAAAAAATCATAAAAAAACAGTCAAATGACTGGCAGCAGCAGCAAGTTTCTGCAGAGAAACTTTTTCCTAATAATAAAATTAAGTGTCACTCAATGAAATTTTAACACAAGCTTAATATTGTAAAGTAAACCTTTTGATTTGGAAGACAAAGTAAAAAATACTGTGTTAAACATTAAAATCATCTCAAACTTCAACTTGCAGTATTTGTGTCAACATTGAATCTTTAAGTGTAAAGTAATGTTAAAACCTGTAGAAGCACAATCTAAATACAATATTTACTGATTCAGATCAATTTTCTTACATTTCTCATAAAATATACTGAAGAAATGCAAATTAAACTGTTAAGTCTCTGTATGTAGTCTTTCAACTAAAGTGGGGTTGGAAACTTAATTACAAATAACATACACACCACTATTGACTTTATAACACTTTTATTTAATATATTCAGATGTAAATTTACAATATCAAACAATTATTCACAAATAGTTCTTCAGAGCCCCGGGATGATCTGAAGAACTAAAACTGGCATTTCTCCATTGGTCTATCTGGCCTGTTAAGGTTCCTATAATGAGGAGGTGATGATGTCACCTCTGAAAGAGGGGGGGCTGTGGAGCTGAGGGGTGTGGTCTGTTGTTTTTTAGCTTGTTTCTTCCAATTCAGTTTGATCTTGTTTTCCACAGTATTCTCCATATAGTTCTGACAACATATGTGGACAAACATTATACTATCTTTTATGTCAGAATCCCAACTATACAGTGTGTTAATAAGTCAAATCTAAACATACCACAAAGGTCAATGAATCTTTACCAGAAGTGACGGTGCAACGGAGCAGATGAAGAAAAATCCACCTTAAACTGCCAGTAATCAGCTGGATCCTTCATCTGGGGAGAAAAGAAATAACAGGAGACACTAAGATTCACTGTAAAGTCCTTAAAAAGTATGATTTCATTATTTTTTGTTTACCATTACTTTAATAAAGCTTAAACAAATGTTATTTAAATGATCTGTACTGACAAAGAATGCTCTGACCTTCTGTGGCTGCTTTCTAATGTTCCACCGGACTAAACATCAAACATCTGAAAATAATGCCCTTAAAATAATGGCCAAATATTGTGCCATTGAAGAAAGACCAGGTTTCTGTTGGTCAATTTAAACAACTGGCTATTTAAACAATGTGTGAACTGGATGGGAAAATGACAACTGCATCAGTCTGAAACTAGCAAAGACACTTGAGTTGCGCTTTACGCCAGGTGAAAGATAGTTTCATACACTCTCTAATCAGCTGCTTGGAAAAAATGAAGCAGTAGACGACATGAAACTTCATTCAGCTGAACAGGAGAAAACAGAGACCTCTGATCTGTGAACACCTGGAGTCTAGATCAGTGAAAACAAGTCAACAGACCAATGGTGTAACTTCATGACTCACGTCACATGGTCTTCAGCCGACCAAAGGTTGAACAGTAAAACTCAGTCAGTCAGTCAGTCAGTCAGTCAGTCAGTCAGTGTCAGTCAGTCAGTGTCAGCCACAAATCTGACCACATACCTCTCTTCTCTGAAACTTTCCCTGGCTACTTGTTGTTTTCAGAATACAATTGAAACAATCCTCCTCTTGGTCACAAAGCACCTGCTGGTCTGGCTTCACAGAACATCTCAGACATGCTGTTAGTTTACAATCCCAGCAGATCACATGGTGGAAATCTCCATGTGTCTAGAGCATTTTCAAAGTGTAGTGAGATGCTTTTAGCATCTGTGCACCTGAAACAGTTTACCTGCTGATCTTAGACTCGCCCCATCAATGTGTTCTTTTAAAACCAAACTAAAGATCTTCCATTTCTTAAAAGCTGGAGGACGGTGCTTTTAAACCAGAAACACTTCATTCTGTTCCCCACCACCTGGTGATATATTGTCACTCCTGGTTCTTCAGCAGTATCATGATCTCACAGGTGATGAACTGCTGTGGGTCCTTGGCCGTGTTAAATACAGTTGGACACACCAACAAATATTCAGTAATATCTCAGAGCTGTTAACTTTGAATATTTGACATGCTTCTTACTAATAACTTCCATGCTGTTGAGATCAGTAACTGCACACCATACTTCTCAGGGAGGGTTCTAGTACAGTGACGGCCATCTACCCTACACACATCAATGTTCACATTCACTTCAGATCAAACCAAAGACATTTAACACCAGTGAGGAAATCAATCAGTTTATATCAGGTGTAAATATGTGTGTTTGTAAGAGTGCTACCTGCAAGGCTGAAGGAAGGCCTGAGGTTGTTGATACTAAAAACCCCACAATGCATCACAGCATCTCGCCCGGCAGTTGTTGATCTCAGCAGACTGGAAAGAGACAGAGTAGGTCATGTTTATCAAATTACTTTATTGTACTTATTTCATACCTACGTTAGAGATGAAGACAGCACCTATGATCAGAGCAGTATGTTACTTATTAGGATTAAAAAAAGGCAAATAGTATGATGAACTGTATATATTATGTTACTGTATAGAAGCACAGAGAACTTAACATAAACTTGGATTCATCCATTCATGGTGTATTGCTTGGTATTAACTGAATAACACATTAATTAATCAAGGACAGAATCAGCCTAAATTGACTAACAGCAATAGGGATCAACAGATTTTTCAGGGCTGATTCCGATTATTAGTAATCATAGAGACAGAAATATTCTGAACCGATGCCAACACAAAACTACTGCTACATAAAGACACTCGCCATGGCTTTAAAGTTCCTATTGTTTTCTATTATTTTGCCCAACTCATTTATATCAACAAAGATAGGCTAAATAACAGAAACACCTGTATAAACAGTATAATCTTCATGAAGGACTGTTGTATTAGACTATATCAGTCTTAGCTAGCTGTTCCTAATAAATTGTCACCTGAGTGTACATTAATAATTATCAGCTGTGTGCACAGTCTGCAAAGAGCCTGACTGGAATGAACTGATTGCTTTTGGTGCTGTTTTCACCTGGGAACTGATACTGGCTCCCTGGCAGCCTAAAGATGTTGTTTAATACTTTTATCATATATTATTATTATCATCCCCATATAAGATGTTTTACCCTCCTCTTCCCCTTTTAAAAATGTGCCGCAGTAACACGTTTACTCAGAGTACGTCACCTTTCATTAACAGCAGTGAGTGACCGTTTACGTGCTGACGTCACTGTAGTGTCTCATCGCCAGTCTCTGGAGTTTCTGTTTCCGGTAGAGTTTATTGCTGCTCTATCTGAACACAGTTAATGTTGTTGTTTTCTTCATTACAGTGACTAACTACCTGCTGTACATTTAAACTGACCAGTTCTGCTCCAGCACCCACAGCTCTCTGCTGCTAATAGCAAACTTCACTGATTCAGCATTTGTTTACATGCTGTTTAGAACTGATTGTTACTTTAGCTTAGCAGTTAGCTCTGGCTTCTCTCTCTCTCTTGCTCAGTGTGTGTCTCGGACCAACAAATTAACTTGTACATAAGAGTGTTGTGTTTTTGTAGTTTTAGAATATTGGATTGTGATGTTTATTACAGCTTCAGCAATCATGTCATCATGTCATGCTGTGGACACACAGCTCCCTTAACATCCCTGTAAATATCACAGTTCAGGTGAAGATGCACCTTGCTAACCAAGCTAGCCAGCTAGTGCTAGCGTTAGCTGATAACTTAGCGATTGCTATGCTAACGGTACCTGGCCCCGCTGGGCTGATAACCTGTGTCAACCTGGGTTAGCCCGTGGAGGTGTTCAGTCAAAGCCCAATAAAAAGGTGAATTTAATCGACGTTAATCTAACGACGTTTGGTTTGTGTTTCTCCACATGTGACCCAGTTTAAGTGATCTGCGTTAGTGTAATGCGCAGCGTTAATGTTGGTTAATACATTGTCCATCAAGACGTCGTGATAGTTCAAGTTAAGATAACGTGACGTTTACAAAATGTGTAGACAAATATTTGTCATATAGAAGATTGTTCATTTAATACTCAAACCAGTCCTCAACTGAAGCAGACATTCATGCACCTATCCTGACAGCTGATCGATATTTGTGATTAACTGTGATCCACCGCATCTTAACTCAAGTGTTTGTGTTTTATTGTCATTTGAAAGGTTTCCACACTGTGAAAACTGAGTGATCTGTGCCAACAGAAGGAGGACCTCATGTACAGAGCAGCCCATTTGTTTCCATTCATCTGGTTGTGGAGAAGGGAGACTGCATGGACATCCTTAGTTCTCTAATGTGCTGTGATGATGATGATGGTAGAAAACCTCTCCCAGTTCATCTTCCTCTGATGAAATGACAGACTAACTGCTGATGAGTTAGTTTATTATTCTCTGTCTTCAGGATTCACAGGTTCAGTTTCTTACCTGCAGCTTCACTTCTGCTGTTGTTGACAGGTGATGGTAGCAACACTTTTAAGATCAGAATTTATAAATATTAAACTGTGGTTAAGTGATGGATCATCTCTAGCACTGTCACCACCTCCACAGGTGAAAGTATTTACCAGTTAACATCAGCATGTTTCTTGATCCTTCATTGCCAGTGTTGTCAGACAACATTTAAATATTTCTAGTATTTATGTTGTTGATTAAAGCTAACAAAGAAATAGTCACACAATACTGTACGTGTTACTATTGTGAAAATTCATACCAGATGTGTTCTATAAAAACCATCAACAAAGTTAAAGCAAGAGCTTCATAAATAACTTTATTGGACATTATAAACTACATTAATTTAAACAATTTACAACACTGGAAACATGTATAAAAGAATAATACATGGATTAATTAAATACTGTAGTGTACAATTTACAATCAACTGTAACTATTTAAAATCAAGAAATAGTTGTGGATGAAGTTAAAGCTGAATTTCACTGTCATATGTAAGTTTGCTTAATAAAAAGAAGTAGTTGAATCAACAGCAACAGAATCTTTAGTAACAAGTATAATCATTATTCATCATGAGTCCTAATGTGTGAGATGTCACACCGCGGTGAGGTCAAGTTGGGTTTTTGTCCTGTCTCCATGTTTTGTCTTGTCATTTCCTGTTTTATTTTGAAAGAAGTAACTCTCCTCTCGTTTCAGGTCACTTGCCCTTCCTCATGTGTCACCGGTCTGATTGTCTTCCCTGATTCCCGATTGTGTCCACCTGTTCCCCATTACCCCCAAGTGTTCAAATAGTCTGCGTCTCCCTTTGTCTTGTGCCAGTGTGTTCGTCTGTGCGTTCACCCCAGCCTTATCACAGTTTGGACCTTATCTTTGTCACAGATTTTGTCGGCTTCCTCCAAGAGAGAGATTTTTTGTTGTAAGTTTTATATCTTAGTTTTGCCATAGTTAATGCTTTCATAGCTTTTTGTTTCCTCTGTGTGGAGCGATTATTATTTACTTACCTTTTCATAAAGTAGTGCCTCCAGTTTTCAGGAGAGTTTTTGTTGTTTCTATTTCTTTTTTTGTTCTTTTTCCTCCGTAGTGGGAGTGATTTTCTGTTAACGTTTTATATAGTTTTTGGATTTCCTCCCTTATTGGAGTGATTATTATTTTGGTAATTTGTTCAACATTCAACATCGTTCAACAGCTTCATTAGAATTAAGATTTCGTAGCCTGTTTTTATTTCTCTGCCTTGGAGATAGAACCTGAGTTACCAAATAAAGATTCTGATACCCTGCACCTGCGTCCTGTTTCCAAGCCTGGTCTTGACATGAGACAGTTAATATTTATTTGCTCCAGTAACAATCTCCCTCTCAATAAGTGATGCTGTTGGAACAGTACACTGATATTAACTATAATGGCTGAGGACTATGAAATATGAACTCTAATGTTTTAAACTATTGACAGTTTGTTACAGCTACAGTGGAGTCCAAAAGTCATGTGATTGTATGTCTGACATGGGGCAGAGAGTGTAATACGACAGTGAGGGTGTAGGGAACAAGGAAGAGCACAGCTGATCAGACTGAACAATGTTATGGCCACAAGAGTTTCATTAAAAAATACTATATTATCATATAAGACACTGTGTGTATGTTTGGGAAGAGAAGATCTTCATGTGTGGACACTGCAGGTGGAGGTGGTGCAGGGCCTCCATCATCACTGCAAGAGGTTGTAGGTGTCCCCAAAGATCCAGACCTTGACTGGATGGAAAAAAACATAATAGAGAGAAATCATATCAATATCATATTGTAGAGTATAGAGAAAAAGACAACAGAAACAGCTCTCTGATTAGATGATCACAGATATCTGAAAATACATTATTCCCTCAGCTTAGTTGTAATAAACAGTCTGCTGAACCGTTTTACATGAAATAACAATAGAATAGAAACTAATACTCAGTTTGGTGTCATTGTGCAGGTGCACATGTCATGATGGTTCTCAGCTCTCAGTGATGTTCTTTATTCTGACAGAGACAGAATCATTCCAACAGATGTTTTGACTCCTGTCATCAATAATGAAATGAACTAGAGCTGAAAACTAGCCGACTAACACTGAACCAAACTTAATATGAACAAACACGACACACACGTCCGCTGCTCTGCTCTTTAACAGCTCGTCCAGACACGACAGTTCACTGTAATAACGGGATCGTTTAGTGACCGTGACTTACCGACATTGACAACCCGCTGTCTCTGTTAACACTAAGGCCCTGATTTACTAAGATCCCAAATAAAGAGCGCTAAATTGCGTGCGCACACGGATAGATTGCGCGCGCTGCCTGTTTGGGGTTTGCGGTGATTTACTTAGATTAACAGCGCAGTTGACTACAGGTGCAAAAGTGATCGAGCCGGCCCTATTTAAATGAGGATTTTGCGCGAGTTAAAGGTGTTCACTGTGGCAAATGCAAACGAGCAGATCCAATTGGACCGGAATTGGAGGTGCTGGTACAAGAGGCAAACAAGCACATTTCTGAGTTATAGCAAAGGAATTTAACCGTTATTAGGAGGAACGCAATATGGGAGGCAATCTGTGACAAGGTTAATGCTGTGGGGGAAACCGGGGAAACACCGGATGAAATGAAGAAAAGGTGGCAAGACATTCGTTGAAGAACAAAGGAAAAAGTCGCACAGAATAACAAATCGGCAAATAAAACAGGTGGGGGACCGGCGGAGGAGGACCCTCTGTCTCCCATTGAACAGCAGGTGCAGCTGACGTTCTGTGATGAGCAGATTACTGGGATAGAGGGAATATTTTTAATTCATTCAGGTACACCACATAAGACATGAACGTGCGTCATGAACGTTCTTTAGCTGTGCAATGGAAAAGCGTAATTGCCAAAAGGGTTTTTTTTGTTTGTGCGTTCCAGCAGGGGCGCAGAAGTGTGTGCGTTTTCATTTGTTTTAAGTTTCAGGAATAAATGACAGGAACTAGGCCGAACTAAATGTTTCCTATGTCTAAAAGAAAGTGGGCTTTAGTACATAAAAATGTGAGTTTTTGGTTTTGTCAAAATAGCACAAACACAAACACTTGACATTATGATGAAACATTTATTATTTAAGGATTTTCTGAACTCTGAACGAATGACTTTTTTGTTTTTTTCTTTTTCAAAGGACAATCATGGCATCGCCGGATAACCGATATGTCTCGATTATTTTTTCTTCTGCCATTCCAAAAAGAGTGACACGAACAGAAAAGATGCGTTGCCTGTCGTGCCTACGCCGCCTCCTTGCAACAATGACCGAGGCCATCTGTGCGCACGGCTGTACCAGGTAGCCTAAGACTTGACTTTCAAACGTGCTAAATATAGACGCAAAAATAATCAGCGCAATTAGTTTGAGGTTTGGTAAATCACATTGCGTGCGCAAAATGATTCTATTTGCATCTACTCCTCCCAATATTTTGCGCGTTGTGGCAGGCACGCCTATATTGCATATTCATGAAGGCAGAAGCGCAAAATGGATAGCGTGCGTTATTTTGCCCGACTGACAGACGCAATCCTCGGTGCGCCCGGTTGGTAGATCAGCATCAACATGTGTTTGCGCGTGCTGTCGCGTTTGCGCACGTTTTTACGCACGCAAAGCTTTAGTAAATCAGGCCCTAAATTCGGTAATGTCACCTTCGCTTTGCAGAACTAATTTTAAAACACGTTATAACATGTTTTCCCTCGGTCTGGTTTTAATACAAGCGGTTACACCACACAGTTAGCTTACACACAGTAACTTCAGCTAATATTACAAGGTTTCTCCTCATATATGTGATATTTACCAAATGTGGACATGTATGCAACTAGTTACTAAGATTATTTTAACACTAAGATATAAAGTTTACCTCCAATTATGAATGCTAACTGTGTTAGCAGTGACTTCGTACTGCGTATCCAGGAGCCTGCTGCGATCAGGTAGCCGGTGTAGGCAGCCGTGCAGAGCAAAGACTCTCTCTACAGTTGTTCTTGTTATTACAGCCTGTTGCTGCACAAAGCTCGGACATTTTAACACTAACTGATGGATGACTTGTCCCTGTTGGAGCAGAGAGGAGAAGCTTCCGACTCCACGGCTTCTCCTATTGGTGCAGCAATGATCCTGTCAGCCCTCACCACAGCTGCTGCCGTTTAAGCATCAGAGGAAGAGAGTTTAAGAGCCCGGCCCGCACATCATTAGTGGCGGCTGATATGATAGGCAGCTCATCTCTGTATCTCCTTTGTGAACATTTGTGTGTGTGTTTTAAAATGAATCCTAAAATGGACGGGCAGCCAGTGGAGTGAAGCTAAAACAGGTGAAAAGTGCTCATACTTGCTTGTGCCAGTTAAAAGACGTGCAGCAGCATTTTGCACCAGCTGAAGACGGGAAATGGAGGACGCACTAACCACCATATAAAGTGCATTGCAGTAATCCAGCCGAGTGGTCACAAAAGTGTGGATTACTGTCTCAAAGTGCTTTCTCTGAAGGACTGGTTTAACCACCTTGACTTCACCACAGCTTTAATCTGGCTGTCAAATTTAAGTTCTGTGTCCACTTTTACCCCCAGATTGTGCACAGTTGGCTTGTGATACTGTGCCAAAGAACCCAGATCAACCAGGGGGGTCACAGAAGTGCCACCAAACACCATGACATCTGTCTTTTTTTCATTAAAATTTAGGAAGTTTAGAGACATCCAAGCTTTAATGTCATCTAAACACTCATGCAATGGCTTAACACTGTAGCCTACAGGAGTTTAAATCGAAAAAACAACTGGACTTGATTATTTGTCTGGGAAGACGTTTCACCTCTCATCCAAGAGGCTACATCAGTTCGTGTACGCATCTGACCAGGCTGGAACTGGTCCAACTTTCTGGTGTGGAGACCCAGGTATTTAACCTCTTGTGGGCGTTCACAAGGCTGATGACGTCACTGGTTCCCATTTGTGCTCCAAGTGTCAACGACAGTCGTTTGCACAACCGTTGTTGGTGGAATGGAGTCATTTGCCACTTGTGAACAGTTGTTATTCTTTGAGGCTAGATTGTTGAATCTCCTGGGAAGGGATGAAAGGGCAGCATGGTAAATTGGAGATAGGTGGTGTCTGAGACCTCCTCCCCTGTTGAGGGATGGTTTCTCTACTTTTACATAGATGGCCTCTTTTACTCCTCTTTCGAACCACCTGTCCTCTCTGTCTAGGATGTGAACATTGCTGTCCTCAAAGGAGTGGGCTTTCTCCTTGAGATGTAAATGGACAGCAGAGTCTAAGCCTGAGGAGTTAGCTCTCCTGTGTTGGGCCATGCGTTTATGCAATGGTTGTTTTATTTCTCCAATGTAGAGGTCATTGCATTCCTCGTTGCACTGGACTGCATACACCAGATTGCTTTTGCGGGTGTGTGGTGTTCTGTCCTTGGGATGTACCAGCCTCTGTCTGAGTGTGTTGCTGGGTTTGAAATACACAGGGATACGGTGTTTGTTGAAGATCCTCCTGAGTTTTTCCGATACTCCAGACACATATGGAATGAATCCATCCCTCAAGAACTGGAACCTGGAGCAAAACCAGACTCTTCATAGATGTGATGCTGTGACCTCAGAGACGGATGTGTTCACCTTACACACTCTTTAGTGTGAACTGAACACTGACAGTTCAGATTGTGAAGCAGTTGTCAGTGTAGTACAGCTCATGTTCATTAGTTTTATTCAGAACTTCATTGTTGTCATTGAAAAGGTGTTTAATAAATAAACCTGTGATTAAATTGTACTGAGTGTTTCTTCATATTTACCATCTGCCTCATGATGAATCTAACAGTCACTTTGGTGAATCAGTGTTTTCATTGTTATTAAAATTGATAAGTTCATAAGACAAATTAGAAAAGCACAAACTCTAGTATCTGTCTCTAGATCCTGTGTTGTCACTGTTGAAGGACGGACACATTTAAACATTTCTATCATGTTTGTTGTTGATTAAAGCAACATAGAAAGTCTTTGATTAATTACAAATTCAGGAGAAACTTCAGTGTGTTGTGATTTCTATACTGTGCTGCTGCTACTGTTAAAATTCATACCAGACACGCTCCATAAAAACCATCAACAAAGCAAAGCTTCATAAAACACTTTATTCACATTAAAACTGCATTAATTTCAACAATTTACAATCAACTGTAACTGACAAATTAAAACTAGAATACTGTTGTGAATGAAGGTGCAGGTGAACTTCACTGACACAACACAAGTCTGCATCATAAAGAGGTGGATAAATCTTATTTAGTAGCAAGTATAAATTATAGTAGAGATGTAAAATAATACTTCATAGCTCAGTGAGGACAGTGCAACAGTATGACAGCTTGACTTGTGTGATAAACCATTTTCCTGCTTTCCTCCCAGTGCATGCTGGGATACATTCCAGTACTTCAAACTTTTGTTGTTGAAGTTTGAATGTTTGATGGGATGAAAAAACGTTTGCTACATTTCATCCAGAATTACAGAGTTTGAATGTAGAAGTCACATAAATGTAAAACTAATAAGATTTACCCTGAAATTACAGAGAAGATCTTTAAATTGTTAGTATGGACATTAACCTTTAGATAATTACTGTCATTTTACATAGATGTGTATGTAATTTAAGAAAGCAGAAAAATACTGTATAAATAATACAGTAATTTGTCTTTACAAAAATGGGAAATAAATGTAATTCATTATTATTGGCATAATGCTTAAAAGAAGTTTGGCTGTTAATTCACAGATCATTTCTGTCATTTTACAAACTTTTGTTCACAATTTTAAAAAACAGAAAATTACTGTTAGAAAACTAAGTTATTTTCCGTAAAATTAGGATTTATTTTTTTACAGTGCAGCCTGAAACAGGTGGCAGTTTATTACAGTTACTACAGAAAGTTCATATCAGGTATTAATAGACCTTAATGAGCCTGACAGTTATTTATTAATCATGAAACTCATCAGTCCATTCTCATCCCAATGAGAACTTTCACTGCATTGGATGGATGAATGTCATTTAAAGCTCACTGTCTTTAGGTGGAACTACAGAAGATAATTAGAAATGAAACAATTAATTACTGAAGTTAACTGATACAGCTGGTTTCCGCCATTTTATAAACATTATTGTCTAGTTGTTTTCTTTCACAGTAAACTGAACATCTTTTTTTCTGTTGGTCAGACTGAAGAAGACTTTTCACTATCTTCTGATGTTATATACACAAAATGATTCATTGAGAAACAAACCTGCTCAATAACTGATTATAAAAAATATGTTGGTCGCAGTTTGTCTTCCTCGCCTCTTCGTCTTTGTAGAATTGAAGAATTATTTTGCTTTCAGTTGATGCAGATATAAGTGTTTTTATGAATAGTATTTAAATATCTAAAAGTATATGGCTGATCACTTATCATTGATATATTAATAATTGGAAACAGTGAGTTGATTAACAGAGTCAATAATATGTGTAGGTCAGCATACAAACTTTCACAGGTGAATATTTTTTATAACACATTTCTGTATTGGTTGTTAATGTGCAGCAGGGTTCTGTCACAGTTCTTTACTTTATTAACGCAAATTTTTTTCTGTCACTTCTAGAACGTTTTAAAAAAACTTTATTAACCCTACATTCTTATTTTAGATACAAAGTTGCCTCCTGTAGCTGCGCGCGCACTTTCACGTCTCGCGTGTGTCTTTTTGACGAGTACCGCGGTGGCTGATGGGATCGCTCTGCCGCTGGTGTGGACATGTCCGCCATGTTTTCCGCGGCGCAGGGAGCGGACCAGCCAGGAAAAACGGCCCCTACATCCCGTTAAACCCGCACACTGATGAGTCCTCCCGCCGGTTACTGGAGCAGGGGACACCGATGAGCTCTACTGCGGCCGACACAGTCGCGTCCGGAGCGGATTCACGTCGGTAGTGGTGCGGGTTTGTGGCGGGATTCACGGCTCCTTTGGATTGTCGCTGATTTGGCGCAAACAATGAGTAAACTCTCGTTCCGGGCGCGAGCGCTAGACGCCGCCAAACCGCTCCCGGTTTACCGCAACAGAGACCTGCCGGACCTGACCGACTGCGTGTCCATTAACCGGGCCGTCCCGCAGATGCCCACCGGGATGGAGAAAGAAGAAGAGCTGGTACGGACATGTTTTATTTTAAACTGTGTGTCTGTTAGCGTTAGCTGTGCCACGGCGGGATTCACGACGTGTTTACGTAGAGTTGTGTCCGTACGCCGTGTACGAAGAGAGGGCCACACGCATGAATATACGCAGGTTACGTAGGCTTGACGTACAGTGTACGCTATTAGCGTAGCGCCAACCAGGCTTGGACGCTTTCTGTGACTGACGACGTTTTCACGTTGTAGTCATGACAACGGGCGACGCAGACTGAAGTGTCCCTGCTCGATGCTAGCTAACCACTGCTACATTAGCGTCAGTCTCTGCCGGTAGAAACGTAAACATGAGCCCGTGAACTGTCCCGTGACACCGCGGACAGTTATGAGACCCGTCCCCTGCACACTGGTGCTCTCCTGACTTTTGACTTCTCTGCTGCCATCCGATTGTGAGCTCTGTGATTAAAAAGACTTTGATTAACTGCAGCATCATCAGTTACAATTACAGAGCGGAGTAGAAACAGATCAGATCATCAGAGCAATATATATACATATACAAATCTATATATGTATATATACAGGAAATGAGCGTTAGTCCACACAGTGACATAGGAGGTCGTCTTCAGGTGAACTTCCACCTGAACAGAAACCTCACAAACAACAATCACTACAGAATTACAGCTTCCTAAAACAGTGGTAACACATGATGTCATAAAGTCCACATTATTGCATTAGGGCTGCAAGTGAGGATGATTTTCATTATTGATTAATCTGCCAGCTGTTTGTTAGATTAATTGTTTACATCATCGCAGAGTCGAACTGTCCAAAAGTCAAACCCATGTTCACAGTGACGAAGTGAGGAGGAGTTCAGAGAACATCTGTCACTGCTTCACTGTTCTTAATAACGACTAAAACGAATAAACAATTATCAAAATATAGACAAATATTTTTCTGCTAGTTGAATAATCGATTAATCCTTTCAGCTCTGCATTTTTTTTCTTTTTGTCAACACACAAAATGATTACATTTGACAGGGTGTCACCAGGACTGATTTGAATCATATGATGTGCTGAGTGTAGGTTTTATATAAAGATGGTCAAAGCCTGTAGAACACTGAAGGTTTTAGGAGCTCATATTATTCACTGTGAGAACTGTGGTGCTATGAAACTGTTCTCCAGCAGCGAATCAGCTGGCAGATACCTGACAGATAAATTCAGACTCTGTACAGGCTAGGTTAGTCTATCTGGAAAAAGAGATGATGAATTTAACAGGTTAGTGTCAGAGGTTTTTAAACAGCAGGAGAACTCTGTAGAACAGAGGTTAGAAACCCTCACAACGTCTGAATCACCTGGTTTTAACTGATCATTAGTCTGATCTGTTCTTCATCAGGACTGACTCAGTGTCTCTGATGTCAGACAGTTATAATCTCTGTCTTTCAGCTCTGGTGGAAAGAGGAGGTGAACCTTAAAACCTAGTTGAACCTGAACCCAGGTCTTCAGTAGCTGCTGATCAGACGTGCTCAGTGTTCAGGACGAGGTCTGGACCTTTGTTACAGAGCTGCTTCAGTCAGACAGGTTACCTCTCTGTGCTCAGTAACATAATCTCTACTGGGTTCAGGTCTGGGTCTGACGGGACCACTCCAGAAAGTGGATTTTCTTTGATGTTTAGGGTCATTGTCTTGTCCTGAGCTTCAGAAGGTGGACAGACACCCTGACATGATCCTGAAGAGACCTGGATAAACTGATGATCTTGATCTGGTCCAGGTCCAGAGGCAGCAGAGACCAAGATCCTGCTCCACTTATGGGAGGAGGTTTACTCCACACACAGAGCTGATGTTCTTCTACAGTTCACCCTCAGTCTCTTCAGTCCATCAAACAGTTTCAGTCAAAGTGATGAAGCAGCTTCCTCTGTGGGCTCCATGACAACAGGACTCCATGAGGATCGGGGATGTGAACCAGCTCCAGTGATTTCTTTAAATTTTCAGCTGTGACATCTCTTCATCCTCAGTGTCTGAGATCTTTGTTGTGAGGCTTCACATCAGCAGATGTTTCTCTATAAGTCTCTAAACGTCAAAACCTCCAGACTGGATTCACTCACTGACTCCCGGCCTGACTCCTCCTGAGGTTCACACACTGTTTCAGCTTCACTGTGAATGTTTGAGCAACAACACAATGATTAGTGTTGTTAGTTAAACACATAGTTTGTTTATTATTGTCACTTATATGAAGATCTGATCAGATTTAACGTTACTGATAAATACAGATGAATCACTGATGACTTCCTACCTCTGTACATGATGACACTGATGATGAATGGGAAAGAGGTCTGGGTTGTCTTCTTCGTTGGTCTGTACAGGTGTTTATGTCTGTCTGGTTGTTTCAGGAGCACCACCTGCAGAGGGCGATCTCGGCCCAGCAGGTGTTCAGGGAGAAGAAGGAGAACATGGTGATCCCTGTACCTGAAGCAGAGAGTAACACCACCTACTACGACCGCCTGTACAAGGGAGAGGTCAAAGTTCCCAAACAGCTCATCCACATACAGCGTAAGTACTGCTGTACTACACCTGTACTGCATACTGACCTACACCTGTACTACACCTGTATTTCATCCTGTACTACAGCTGTACTACAACTGCTTGACACCTGACCTACACCTGTATTGCATACTGTACTACACCTGTAATATACCTGACCTGTGCTACACCTGTTAACACCAGCTAACATCTGCATAAAGATGTTAGCTTGTGTTAACTCTTCACTTCTTCAGCCTCACAGTCTGAGAAAAAATCTGTTCACCACAGATATCAGTACTGTAGTACTAACACCAGTACTGTGTGTACTACACCGTTACTCTGTGTACTAACATCAGCACTGTGTACTCTGGTCCTGTAGCTCTGGGTCTGGACCTGGAGCAGCCGGACTACGACATGGACTCAGAGGACGAGACGCTGCTCAACAGACTGAACAGAAAGATGGAGATAAGACCTCTGCAGTTTGAGACCATGGTGGACCGACTGGAGAAGGCCAGCACACACCAGGTAACACACCTGAATATGGTCATGGTCAGTGTGAAACTGCTCGGGGTGTGTTCAGTATTTTATTTCAGAACCAGGTCTCTATACTGGACCCAGTATCTCCTCTTGACCGGTTCTCAGCTGACCCCTCTGGTTCTGGTTTCAGTTGGTCTCTCTGGCGGAGGCGAAGCTGCTGCTGAACGAGGATGACTACCTGCTGAAGTCGGTGTACGACTACTGGGTGAGGAAGAGGAAGAATTGTCGGGGTCCGTCTCTGATCGCTCACATCAAACAGGAGAAGAGGGACGGATCCACCAACAACGATGCCTACGTGGCCTTCAGACGGAGGACGGAGAAGATGCAGACCAGGAAGGTAAGTCCACATGTCTCCTCCAGTTACAGAGACGGAGACGAACAGTTTACGAACAGATGTTTCTTCTTCCTCAGAACCGGAAGAACGACGAGGCATCGTATGAGAAGATGCTGAGACTAAGGAGAGAGTTCAGCCGCACCGTCACCATCCTGGAGATGATCAAGAGGAGGGAGAAGTCCAAGAGAGAGCTGCTGCACCTCACCCTGGAGGTGGTGGAGAAGAGGTAAGAAGGAGGAGGAGGGAAAGGCTTTTCAGTGTGTATAGACATGTGACACACCTGTGTAGTACCTGGTTACATCAGATGTGACCTCAGACCTGAAGACCTGGGTCTTCTCTGATTGGCTGTGACAGTCTAAATGAAGGTTGTTTTGGGCTGAATGAGTGGTGATGATGCGTTTCTTGTGTTCAGGTATCAGACAGGAGACTTCAGTGGAGATGTCCTCAGAGAGGTCTCACTCCCTCTTGTGGAGAAACCCGTGTACAGCAGTCCAGTCACTCTGAGCAACAGCAGCAGACACAAGACAGACATCAAGATCAAGGTATAAACATGTGTGTGTGTGTGTGTGTGTGTGTGTGTGTGTGTGTGTGTGTCTCTATCAAACAAAATGTTTATAATAATTTGAACCAACCTGTCATGAACTCTGTAGAGTTCAAAGTTCGTCACCTTCAGATCTAATCTGTGAAAATCATCAACCAATCAGAGGATGATGACCACACCTTCCTAAATGAACCACCTGCTACCTGCTCACCTGAGCGACCTGAGCACGATGTGTTTTCAGTCAGACAGGAAAGAGATGAGCAAACATTCACTTTGACACAATGATGAACTGATGGTGGTCAAAGGTCAAAGGTCACTGTGACCACACAACATAACAAGAATTCATACGCTGATTTACTGAGGAGGTGATTCTAGTTTCTTCTCTGAAGGTTCTAATAAAAAGTTTTAATTTTTTTTGCTTTTCGTCTTTTGTTTCCAACAGTAAAAAAGACCAGTTCTTTATTTTCAGTGTTTTCATCCAAATGTTTGAACCTTATTCTACTCTCCGCCTCTGTGTGGAGCTGATTCTCATTTAACCACAGAAGAAGAAGAAAAAGAGCTTGTTAAAGATCCAGTCAGAGCTCACAGGATGAAACCATGATGTGACATTTCAGTTGGTTTCATGTGTTAATGTGAGGAAGGCTCAGCCTCCTTATCATCGATCCACTCAGTTTATTCTCAGTGTCTGTTCTTCTCTCAGATGCAGAAGAAGCAGGAGTCCATCAGAGAGGAGCTTCCCTTCGACCTGCTCAGACCAAAGAAGAAGAACATCAGACGGGACAGATTATATCCTCCACAGAGACGCCCCGGTCGACCCCCCGGTCCCTACACCGTCAACATGGCTGACATCAAACAGTACGATTTCCACAGCTCAGGAGAGGACGACTGTTCACCGCCACCGCTGGTCAGTATCACATCATGTTGTAGTGAAGGACACTGAGTCCAGATGTGACTCTAACGCTGACGCGGCCCAGATGTGACGCTAACACTGACATGGTCCAGATGTGACTAACTGTGACTCATATTGTTGTTGTGTCCTCAGTCTCCTCCGTCTTCTCCTGATGAGGAGAACAATCCTGACGGAGTCTTTGTCTTCAGGAGGAAAGCTGGATGTCAATATCTCTCTGTGAGTCTGTCATTACCTCCACATCTGGATAATCGCTGGGTCTTCTATCAACAGCTGGTATTAGAACGTGCACACAGTCCAGAAGTATTTGAACAGTTCCACATGTTCTTTAGTTTCCTCTGAGCTCTAAACCTCCCACACACTTCTGACTATACTGATGTGAACCTGCTCAGATTAAAGCTGAGGCTCTTTAATGATTCAGACTGAAGGTGTGAAGAAAATGTGGACCTGTCCTGGACTGGACTCCTGCTGCACACCTGTCAGACAGAACATGTGACTGGTTTACAGATCATGATTCTAAAGACAAGTCTAAACTAAGATGAAATTTTCTTTCTTTTAAGTCACAAAGACATAGGAGCAGGACACAGACAGGTGTGTGACACAGGGAAGAACCTGTCCAGGTGTTCTCAGGGTTTTATACAGGTTTTATTGTTTTCAGTTTAACCTGAACACTGACTTAGAAACACACCTTAAGTGTCAGACAGCTGCAGCCTCACTTGAACCTCAGATCACCTGTAGAACATATCACTACAGACGGGGTCCACACTGGACCTGATCAATGAACCTGTCTCATGTCCATGTGGACACAGGCTCATGTGTCCTCTAAACGAATGTCTCATGAATCAGATGTTTTTATGACCTCATGATGTGTGTTTGTTTCTGAAGCCCTTTACGGAGCAGACAGGTGGAGACGACCATCCGGAGCTCCTCCCTCTGCGTCTCCGTCACTCTCTGACTGAACTGTCTCTGCCACCTCATTGGACGGGACTGAGCCGCCGCAGGATAGGACGAGGGGGCAGGTAAACATCACACCTGACCACCTTTAGTCTTTGTTAGTGTACCTGGAGGAGGGCGGAGCTCTGTGTGGCAGATAAAGTCATCATTCATCAGTTCATTAATCATCGGGTCCAAGCAGCTGGCGACCATTTCAATACCATATCTACATTACACATTACTCACCGTTTCTGATCTGAACACTGTTTGAAACTCGTTATCGACCATCTACTGAACGTGTGTGTCACTTTTTGCAGCATTTGATTGAAGACTTGTGGCGATATAGATGTTCTTTGATTTAACATATTTGTAAATATAGAGTGACTGACTTCTGAACTGACCATAGGTTACAGTGAAGCAAACTTTCATCATTCAGTGGATGTGATGAAAACATCAACTCTGTAGAATGTACAGGTGATTTATTATATGTAAGTTTGGAAAGTGCAATGATTAGAAATGTATTTATAAATTAATTATGAGTTATTGATACATCTTATATTTTCTGTAATAAGTCACATGCACTTTAATCAATCATTAACAAACTTTATACCTGGACTGAGTCATGACCTGAGATCAAACTGACTTCCATATGAATCCATGCAGCCGATTCTGAGATATAAACTTTTCACATTGTAGCGCCCCCTAGGGGCAGAATATCCCAAGACTCTGTAGCAAAGCTAAAGTTCACAGACGTGCCCAGAATTTGTTTATAATAACATCAGCCAATTTTGATTTGTTTGTGTAAAATTGATCTTAACGACACAAATTTAAAAGTTTAAAGTTATAAAGACCATGAGAGCAAAGATGTAGAAGATTCCAGAGATCAGAAAGATGAAAGAATTTTGACTGTAGCCCAACCAGTTTGAGAAAATGCAGAAATGTAATCAGTCCCTCCAGGATTTCACAGCTTTTTTTGGATCGCTGCGGCTAAAATAGCTGATTTTATCACAGCTTTTCTTAAAAATTGCAATGAAAGTTGAAATGTTTTCAGATTTTTTTTTTTTGCGATAAAACTGCAGGAGAAAATCTAATTTCACAAATAGTCTCTATCTTTTTTTTTATAATTCATTAAAAATCGAAGGCAACTGGTTCCAGTGAGAATAAATGCAGGTGAGTGCAGGTGGTGACCCAGACTCTGCTCCTCTGCTATGTCTGAATCACAGGTAGAGCTGATCTTTAGAATCACTTCAACAATTTATAATGCAGTGACCCCCACACACCCACCCCCATTGAATTCACTGAGCAGCTCAGAGGCCGCCGGCAGCTGCTGCCATCTTTAAAGGTGGAGTTATTTCTTGAGTGTTACTTGATGTGTGATTGACGTTTGGAAATCAATCAATACATCTTAAATGTCGACATGACTCTGATCATTAGTTTTTATCACCTCTCTCCATGACAGACTCAGTGACGATCGGATCTTCAGCTTCTTATAAATGTAGATAAACATCAACGTGATCATGTGACTGAAGATAATTTATTTCCTCTGGAGAATAAAAGTAGTGGAGCGTCGTTCAGGTGGCTCCAGCTCTACACCTGTGGCTCCACCTCAGTGTTGCAGCGCTACAGAACTATTTAACCCTTTAATGTAAAACATCATTAAATGTCTTCACACGCCTTTAACAGGGATGTTTGTTGGTGAATGTGAGATGTTCATGTCATCCACGTCTGCAGCTTCACAACATGCTTCAACACCACAAACAAGGAAGTGAGTTTGGGGACATCATCAAGGCTTTGATCCGGGACTGATGTGATTGGTTCAACTGGAAGGAAACTTTGATGATTGGTCAAATTTGCAAAAAAGTTGTGGTGATTAGACAAAAATGCAAGGTCGTGCAGAACTTACGAGGATTGGTTGAATCTGCGTTAATTTTTGCGATAACGACTTTCTGGAGGGACTGATGAGTGTCATTCAGTAGTGGATGGAATTTGCAATCAATTTAATTTATTTTTTTTTTCCATCAATAACTCATGTCCTCGTCTCTCTGATCAGGATCATCCTGGACCGAGCCTCCTCAGCTTTGGATCCAGTACTGAAGCAGCTGGACTCTTTAGCACATCCGGTCTTCAGGACCAGAACCGGTACCTGTGTCCACCGGGATCACGCAGTAACCCTGGACTGGAAACCTTCCCTGTCTTCAGGAACCCCCCTCCCTTCCCTGACTGAAGTCCTGAACAATATCCAGAACCTGAGGAGGTTCTGCTTTAGACCCAGACCGGTTCAGGACCAGAGGGAGGGCAGGACCACAGGGTTCACACTGGACGACAACAGACTTACCTGTCGTCTGTCACCTGACCCTAACCCTGTGTCAGGTGAGTCACAGCGACACTGAAACAACAGTTGATGTGCAGGTGACTGCAGATGTGATGAAGGAGTTGTTATTCCTCTTGCACCTGAACAGGAACTCTGAAACTACAGTCTGAGGGGGAGGGGCTTTGAGCTGAGAGTGAAGGGGGGGTCTTGCAGTTCAATATTGACCTGGTCTTGTGAAGAACCTGCTGATTAAAGATGGCTGTCAGGGGGATCAGTGGGAAACCTGTCACCTTTACAGTCCGGCCCAGATGTTTTTTGTCTGTCGTGCTCAGGTTACCAGGCAACCATCCAAAACATTAGGACAGATTTATTAAAGATAAACTAACATCATTTTCATCATTAAGCAGATCAGGATTCACATCGAATTAAAAGGAAAGATTTATTCTGATGATAAATTCATAAATTCAATCACTGTTCCTTCTATGACTGTCCCTCCTACAGTCGGTCACCATGGTAACCCTGGTTTTTGAGCTATTTAATTGGAGGAAGGCCTCATCACTCCATTCGCTGTGATTCATCTTTACAGTGTGTGTGTGTGTGTTTGTGTGTGAACCAGCAGGGGGCATCACAGAGGAGCAGTACCACAGTCATCAACAGCAGCTGGTCCAGATGCAGAAACAACAGCTGGAACAGCTGCAGCTACAGAACAACGCTGCTTCATACAGACACACAGTGCTGCACAGAACACAGGTAAAACACACACACACACACACACGTTGTAACTGCCGTGCGTTTTCATGTTAGAACTTGCTGACCAATCACAGCCCAGCATTTCTTAACTCGGTCTTTGTTGTTTCTGTTTGTGCTGTCTGGTCCTCAACCTGTCCTGTTCTGTCCCCGTCTGTCCCGGTCTGATGTCTAGTCCACCCGGTCAGGTGAGTCAGGTTCGAAGACTCTGGACTCGGCCAGCGCTCAGTTTGCAGCCTCGGCTGTGATCAGCGCCCCTCCCCCTCCTCACGGTCACGTCAACAGTGAGATCAAATCCTACAAGACCAGTGTCAACGGAGTTCACCCTACAGGTGAGCTGTGTCACCTGTCAGAGCCTCAGCTGAGGAGGACGTAACTGACCACACAAACTGCAACATGGGGAATCGACCTGGACGATAATAAATAAATAATTAAACATAAATAAGTTGAATTAAATCGTCTAACGTCGTTTACAGATCTGTTCATTGTGTTTTTATCATCGTCCAAATAAAACTTTATTTACAACTTCACATGATCTTTAGTCTGATGACATCATAACTGTAATCAAATTACTTTACCACAATGTGCTGGTATTGCATCTTTAATCATTTTAGACTCCTCCTCCTCAGGTCCCTCCAGGCCACCGTACTCCTCCCCCTCTCTCAGCAGGTTGGGGCCTTCAGCTCGAGGGTCATTACCTTCCTCCTCCTCCTCCTCCCCTCAGTCCCTCCCCAACCAGAGGAGCCAGGTGGGAGCTGTCTCCCCCGCCCACCCCCACACTGCTCGACCCTCCGCCCCCCCAACGTCTGCCTTAAAGCTCGCCACCGTCGCTGCCAGCCTTGACCGAGTGCCCAAAGTCTCCACTGCCAGGTAAATATATACCTGTCCAGGTAAATCTACAGTCTGTGGTTCAGACCAGGTCTTAGTCTGGACAACATGTTATTCTGGATCAGTTGGACTGGTTCTAGTTTGAGACCTGATCTGAAACGTACTGACATAAAACTCTGATGCTGTCAGTTTGATCTGTGTTCAGTCGAGGAAGTGATGTCATGAGTGATGTCATCTGTTTTTGTTGTCACAGAGACTCGAACGAGCCGGAGAGACGTGTGAACGGACTGTCAGAGACCACACTGCCCATGGAGGTCACATAACATCATATCCCATCAGCCCCTGCTCCTCCTCAGTGTCTGACCGGTGAATGTGACACGCTGTGACCTCCAGAACAGAAGAAGAAGATGGCGTCTGAATAGAATCAGAACTTTTACTGAGTGTTGATATTATTACTATTATAATTGTTATTATTGTAATAATTGTTGTACAGTTTGTAAATGTCTCATGTAAAATAGATTTTGTTTCATCACTTTAGTTTCTGAAGCAGCTTTCATCATGTGACTGCAGAATCAACTCTGATTGGTCCACAATATGTCCTGTATCTCCACTCTGATTGGTCCATGATGAGTCTGTATCTTGGCTCTGATTGGTTATTTATTTCTTATGTTTACATTTTGTATTTCTTTTAACTGTTGTTTTTTCCCAAAGATTGAAAACATTGATTTGGTGTCACAGATGAAATATTTGTGAACCGTTAGTTTTTACTTTTACGTGTTTGTTCCTCTCTGCCTTCTGATCACTGAAACCCTCATTCAATAAAAATATGCATCTTGTAAAGAGACGATGATCTGCAGCTGTAACAGAGTTTTTATATCATGAAATGTGTGTGCGGGGGGCGGGGGGGTCAGAGTCAGACAGATGCTGATCAGAGGAGTTTGAACTGAAGCTCCGACACGTTTCATTCTTTTCTGTTGGTTTTCTTCTGGAGCAGTTTCCATGGAGACAAGAAGAAGTGACAGTCGGCAGTTCACTTCCTGTTCACTCTGCGCTTCAATAAAATACAGTGACAGACTGAGACTGTTTGTTTCTTCAGTCTGTGAATAGAAACAACGTGTCTGAGAACAGTCACTGTGCTGGTCCCAGTTATCAAAGTATCAATAGATGAGGTTATCACAGGCAAAGATGAAACTATTAATCAGCATCAATAATTATTCAGTCATATAAACATGATGTATAACGATGTCTTTTACTTTGGTACTTGCAGTTCTGAATTCAGGATCGTTATTTGTAACCGTTTTATTTTATTTATGTGATTGTCTCTTTAACTCAGCTGAAGAAGGACTTCATGTCCCAGAGTTCCCCGCGGCTCGGTGCTCCAGGGTGGACCTGTGTGAGGTGGGAGTGTTCGGTCGGTCAGCATCCTGATGGAGAGACACCGACCGGAGACCAGACCTACATTATCGGGGCTGTGGCTCATGTAGCTGGACTCGGTGGATCCGTTTGTGGACCTGGATCTGGACTTGAACCGCAGAAACCTGAGTCGAACCTGAACCGGACCCGTCGTCGTCCTGTGGATTCGTCGGTGGTTTTCTTCTCTGTGTTTACCGGACGGTGTCGTGATGGTGGACGCGGCGGAGTGCGGGGTGTGCGGGGTGAAGGTGATGTGTCGCTTCAGGCCGCTGAACGACGCGGAGCGGAGCCGCGGAGACAGATTTACCCCTAAATTCAACGGAGACGACACGGTGGTGGTTGCGGTGAGTCCTGCACCCACAGTCCGTCTGACAGCGTCTGTGAGCGGACACCAGACACACTAGTACACACCCTCCCCCCTGCTGTCTGCTGCAACAATAGACACACAATAGAAACAAAATAGACTCTAGAGTCAGAGCACCGACACACACAACATATACAACACACAACCGACACACAACAGACAGGTCAGAAAATATTAAAGTTTCCAACATGATGCTTTTAAATGTCGTCGTTTATTCGAGCGTCAAAAACACAAAAATATTTCACTGTGGTATCAGGAGTCAGGGATCAATAATCAATATGTTGTTGTATCATGTATCTGCAGTGATCTGATCAGATTAGGTATTATTAAATAAAGTTTAATAGAATAATAGATATAGAATATATAGAATCGTTTGGTTTGGTCACATGACTGTCCCAGTTTCCTGTTCATCTTGTTTTAATGAGACGTCTGACAACAAACACAAACAACACAACACAAACATAATGAGTCTGTTTGTGTTTTAATGAGACATCTTTGTTTCTTCTTAAGCTTCAGAGCTGATTTAAAGTTTCCTCTGACGATAGACACAAACAACACACACAACGCAGCACACACACACAACACAACACACAACATACACAACACAGCACACACAACACAACACACACACAACGCAGCACACACAACACACACAACACAACACACACAACATACACAACGCAGCACACACAACACAACACAGACAACACAGCACAACACAACACAGCACACACACTTCAAAAATTAATTTCAGGAAGAAGAGCTGCTTTGTTCCTCTGCTGTCAGTCACATGACCTATGTCAGCCTTCAGCCACCTCTGTCATGGGGACAGAATATTTCCCATGAGACTTTGCAGCAGCTCCATCCCCCTGTTCTCTCTAACTGAAATCTGTCAGTGACCTGCAGCCTCAGACAAGTCCTGGATCTGGTCTGAGATCTGATCTGGTCTTAATGTTACAGCTCACAGGGATGTTTGAGATGATTAACATGAAACTTTTTGTTTTAAAACTACTGTAATTTAACCCTTAAATTAACCTTTAATCTATTCCGTTAATTTAACCCTTAATGGACTTGATGTAGTTTGTTTTTCATTCTGTTAAAACAACGTATGAAAGGTGCAGATTTAATGTGAAGGAGACAAACATGAGCAGCAGCAAATAAAAACTGATCATTAAATCTGACAGAAAACTGTCCTTTCAGAATAAAGGGCCCATTAAAGAAGCTCTGGCTGCTCGTTTCAGAGGAAATGAACGAGAATTGGTTGTAGTTTGAAACTGCAGTTCAGTTTGTTTTTGTGCTGTGTTGTGTGTGTTGTTGTGTGTGTTGTGTTGTGTGTGTGTGTATGTGTGTGTATGTTTGTGTATGTGTGTTTGTGCGTGTCTGTGTATGTGTGTGTGTGTATGTGTGTGTTGTTGCGTGTGTGTGTGTTCATGTGTATGTTTGTGTGTGTGTGTCCTGCATCATTCATCACCACTCATCTTTCTTCTGTCGGATTGGTTCAGTTGTCACAGTGGGATACAGTTACCGTGGCAACAGGCCTCTTGGTGAAACAGATTGAGACAGACAGGAAGTGATGAGATCAGCTGAATTTATCATCTGTTTGATTTATTTTATTTCTGTGTGGTGGTTTTGATCAGAAAATTATACATCATAATATATTTATATGATCATATATAATTTATATGATCATATAAATAAATAATTTATCACATATAAATTGTATAATATAATATATAGAGAGCTAATAAACCATAGGCTTTTATTGTGACAGTGTGTTTCCTGTGTTTCAGGGGAAGCCGTACGTGTTTGACAAAGTCCTCCCTCCTCACACTGAACAGGTTCAGGTGTACGACACCTGTGCCAGACAGATCGTCAGAGGTCAGTCCACGTCATGATGATGTCATCATCTGTCCACATTTCCACCTGTGTCTCCTGTTTATCTGTCTCTAATTATATATGTTGATATCAATAAATATATTGATCTTTACCTGTTTATATGTTGATGAGCTGGAATCCTCTCACCTGTGTGCAGGTAGATAATTGGTTCATGTGGAACACCTGTGTGTTTCACCTGTTTGTTCTGTGTTCTGTGTTGTTGTGTGTTATATTTATTATTTCTTTTCCTGTTTTATTTTGTAATCACTTCCTTTGTGTGTCTTGTGGTTATTTTACTTCTCCTCTTTGTCCTGTTTCCCTCCTTGTTGATTGTCTGCCCCGCCCTCATGTGTTTCACCTAGTGTCTCTTTGTCTCTGTCAGTTTGACCTGTGTCCTGTGGTTCTCCTGTTTGCTCAGTTTTGGATTTTTCAACTTGTTCCTCGTGTTTTTGTCTTTTCAGTTTTTGATTTTGGATTTTGAGTTCTCAGCATTTTCACAGTTTTTGTAAGTTCCTGTTTCTTCTTTATTTAATAAATCACCTTTTCACTTACTTTGGATGGTCTGCTTTTGGGTCCCTTATAACTACAAAACCTGACAGTCATATGTTGTGTGTTTTAGATGTGTTGGGGGGATATAATGGGACGATCTTTGCGTACGGTCAGACGTCGTCAGGAAAGACTCACACCATGGAGGTCAGTGAACAAACTGAAGATTTTTATGTTGTTAAAGTTTTTATGTGACAATAAAGTTTTTGATTTGTAGGGGAACCTGCACGACCCTCGTCTGATGGGAATCATCCCTCGTATCTCCAGAGACATCTTTGATCACATCTACTCCATGGACGAAAACCTGGAGTTTCACATCAAGGTGTTGTTTTTTTTAATTTAACATTTATTTTACTAGGCAAGAGTAACAAATACTTAGGGTTAATCAGCTGCAGGAAGCTGCTACAATGACGTCATGATTACAGGTGTCAGTGTGGAGCTGCTTCAGATTCCTCTCCTCTACATAAAGAGTTAAATCTGCTCTGGGACCAGTTGTCTTACTGTCAGCATTAGAAAACAGTGATGCATTCACTGACCCACCTGCTCTCCATGTTTTCACTGTTCCCCTGCTGCTCTGCTCTCTGATGTATCTGTACGTTTATCATAGCTCATGATCACAGTACTCGTCATATTTAACAGAAGAAGAAGAATGAGCTCTGAGCTGATGACTGTTTTTTAGTATTTACAAATATAAATATGTTCTATGACATAATATGCCTGACATTTAATAATTTAATGACGGGTTAATAAAATGATTCAGAGGCTTTAGAAAGTGTTGAGACCCTTCACTGTGGTGTGTTGTGTTCACTGTGTGTGAACATGTCTCTGCAGGTGTCTTACTTTGAGATCTACCTGGACAAAATCAGAGACCTACTGGATGGTGAGGACAATCTTTAGCATGTCATTAGTGTTGATCCAGTTGAGCCATGTCATGTGACTCATGTCATCTCATGTTTCAGTGTCAAAGACCAACCTGGCTGTTCATGAGGACAAGAACCGGGTTCCCTTCGTCAAGGTGTGTGATCCTTCATGTTCTAATGAGGGTTCATGTTTAAACAGTACTTCAGTATCAGTACTACAGTAACACTCTTTTCCTGTCAGGGTTGTACGGAGCGTTTTGTTTCCAGTCCTGAGGAGGTGATGGACGTCATCGACGAGGGAAAAGCAAACAGACACGTCGCCGTGACCAGTGAGTCTCTGTACTACTACTGCTACTACTACTATTACTACTGCTACTACTACTATTACTACTGCTATTACTACTGCTATTACTACTACTAATACTGCTATTACTACTGCTACTACTACTATTACTACTGCTATTACTACTATTACTACTGCTATTACTACTACTATTACTACTGCTACTACTACTATTACTACTACTATTACTACTGCTACTACTACTATTACTACTGCTATTACTACTATTACTACTGCTATTACTACTGCTATTACTACTACTAATACTGCTATTACTACTGCTACTACTACTATTACTACTGCTATTACTACTATTACTACTGCTATTACTACTACTATTACTACTGCTACTACTACTATTACTACTGCTATTACTACTGCTACTACTACTATTACTACTGCTATTACTACTGCTACTACTACTACTACTACTGCTACTATTACTACTGCTACTGCTATTACTGCTACTACTACTATTACTACTGCTATTACTACTGCTATTACTACTGCTACTACTACTATTACTACTGCTATTACTACTGCTACTACTACTACTACTACTACTGCTACTATTACTACTGCTATTACTACTGCTACTACTACTATTACTACTGCTATTACTACTGCTACTACTGCTATTACTACTGCTACTACTACTATTACTACTGCTATTACTACTGCTACTACTACTATTACTACTGCTATTACTACTGCTACTACTGCTACTACTGCTACTACTGCTATTACTACTGCTACTACTACTATTACTACTGCTATTACTACTGCTACTACTGCTACTACTGCTACAATTACTACTACTACTGCTATTACTGCTACTACTACTACTGCTACTACTACTGCTATTACTACTGCTACTACTACTATTACTACTGCTATTACTACTACTACTACTACTATTACTATTACTATTATTAATATTACTACTACTACTACTATTACTATTACTATTATTAATATTACTACTACTACTACTATTACTATTACTATTATTAATATTACTACTACTACTACTATTACTATTACTATTATTAATATTACTACTACTACTACTATTACTATTACTATTATTAATATTACTACTACTACTACTATTACTATTACTATTATTAATATTACTACTACTACTACTATTACTATTACTATTATTAATATTACTACTACTACTACTATTACTATTACTATTATTAATATTACTACTACTACTACTATTACTATTACTATTATTAATATTACTACTACTACTACTATTACTATTACTATTATTAATATTACTACTACTACTACTATTACTATTACTATTATTAATATTACTACTACTACTACTATTACTACTGCTATTACTACTCCTACTATTACTATTACTATTACTACTACTACTTCTACTACTACCATTACCACTACTACTACTACTACTACTACTACTACTATTACTACTACTACTACTACTTTACAGTCGTAGCTCCACAGCTGCTCAGACTCATCATGTGGTTGTAATGACAAGTGCAGACTGTGGGGGGCGCTCCAGTGATGTCCATGTTGTGTTGACTTGTTTTTCCTGTGTTCTCCCTGCAGACATGAACGAGCACAGCTCCCGCAGTCACAGTATTTTCCTGATCAACATCAAGCAGGAGAACGTGGAGACGGAGACGAAGCTGTCGGGGAAACTCTACCTGGTCGACCTGGCAGGCAGCGAGAAGGTCACACTGCTCCATGCGCTCGTCACACCTCTCTTCTTCTATTGCTGGGGAGCGGTGTTAACTACATTTCCCAGCAGCACTGAGGCAGCACAGAAATAGCTCCTCTGTGTCAGTCTAAGATCAATAAACTGATAGAAACACAAGCCTGTTTGATTAGAAACTGATCAATAGAGTAAATGAATAATCACTGATTCAGTAACGGCTGACAGTGGACGTTCAGTTCATGTCTTCACCTGTTGACTCTCCTCACCCATCTGTCCTCTCCTCACCTGTCCCCTCCCTGACACCTTGATGATGTTCAGGTGAGTAAAACAGGAGCAGAGGGCGCCGTGTTGGATGAGGCCAAGAACATCAACAAGTCTCTGTCTGCTCTGGGGAACGTCATCGCTGCTCTGAGTGAAGGAACCGTGAGTCAGAAGTTTGGATGTTCATTCAGTGAAATCATATGAACATACATGAACATACAGACATATGAAATCACATGTTGTGTTGCGTGTTGGTAGAAAACCCACGTCCCGTACAGAGACAGTAAGATGACCCGGATCCTTCAAGACTCTTTGGGAGGAAACTGTCGAACCACCATCATCATCTGCTGCTCGCCGTCCGTTTACAACGAGGCTGAAACCAAGTCCACCCTCATGTTTGGACAGAGGTACCGTACAGGAACACACCTGAGTTACTTATCAAAATAAAAGACTCCAGGTACTTAGTGGGCAAGTTAGTTATTTATTCAAACATCTGTGAAAGTTCAAATTCAGTAAAATGTGCTAATATTAAAAAGTTCTTAAAGTGTCAAATGTGATAGGATCATTATCACTGAACATGTTTCTGTCTATTACTGAAACTTTTTACTCTGAATCTGAATGATTGTCTTTATCTTGAGGAAGGAACACTGAAAACTGAAAACAACATAAATCTAACAGTGTTAACACTGGTCGTCAGTCCCTGAGTGTTTGTTTGAACCACTTCCTGTGTTGTTTGTGTGTCAGAGCTAAAACCATAAAGAACACAGTGTCTGTGAACCTGGAGCTGACAGCCGAGGAGTGGAAGAAGAAGTATGAGAAGGAGAAAGAGAAGAACAGGACTCTGAACATCATGATGCAGAAACTGGAGAGTGAGCTAAAACGCTGGAGGAAAGGTGAACAGCCATCTACCAGGATGAGAGCTGACATGTATCTGATAGGTCAAAGCAGCTCTTTGCCAGATGATGTCGCAACACATCGCATTCTGACGAAAGTTGGTTCAGGTTCAACTTTCTTTCTAGAAGACTTTGGGCTCTCTTACTCCTGGCGCAAAGCGCAACACAAGTGTCTTTGCTAGTTTCAGACCGACGCAGTTTTCATTTTCCCGTCCAGCACCACGTTGTTTAAACAGCAAATACACCTGCACTTATCTGAGCGCCCATGAGTGTGTTGGTCTTAAAACGAGGTGTGGTCAGGAGCAGTGTTGACCCTAAGCTGTTTCCATTCATCACCTCAGTTCATCACCACACTTTCATAACGAACCAAAGATTTATTCACACTTCTCATACACATCGAAGATTTCTAATGTTGTGATTAGTGCCATTATTTGACGGTAGAGCTGTGAGCAGAGCACTGATTCACTCAGACCTTCTTTACCTTCAGTCACAGACTGGCTGCCTGTGTCAGGATTGGTTCACTGATCAGTGACGAACAGAATCTAACTCTGTACCATTATAGCAGCAACGCACCGAGCTGCAGGCGCCTGGCTTTTAAAGGGAACGGGAGCTGCTCTGTGATTGGTTTATTGGATGTTATGCCCAAAACACTCCCATGAATAATTAAGAGATTAAGTTCAACCCTTGTCCTCTGGGTTGTTGATCCTGCATGTCAGACAAAATTTGAACCTTTCTCCAGGTGAGTGTGTACCTGCTGAGGAGCAGCTGAGCAGCAGAAGCAGCAAGAAGAGTGCCAGCAGTGACACGACAGTAGTGATGGACAGCTTGGCCCCACCTCCCGCCCCCCTGTCGGACGAGGAGAAGTCGCAATACGAGACGCTCATCACCGACCTGTACCAGCAGCTGGACGACAAGGTGAGTCTCACCTGAGCCAGCTCAGACTGGTTGAGTTTAAATGTCTGAAACATTAAAAAAGTGCCGCTTGATGTTTCAGGACGATGAGATCAACCATCAGAGTCAGACGGCTGAGACACTCAAACAGCAGCTGATGGATCAGGACGAGGTGAGTTTCACCTGAGTACCATGTATTCATCTATCATCCAACCTAAACCTCCACCTTCTGATACCTAACACCTCCTCTTGTCCAGCTGTCGGCATCGAACCGCCAGGACTACGAGCGTCTGCAGGAGGAGGTGTCCCGGCTGCAGAGAGACAACGACTCGGCCAAAGAGGAGGTGAAGGAGGTGCTGCAGGCGCTTGAGGAGCTCGCTGTCAACTACGACCACAAGAGCCAGGAGGTAGAGGACAAGAACCGCTGCAACGAACAGCTGAACGAGGAGCTTGCACACAAGACTGTGAGTACATACAGAAACAAGGGGTCAGAGGTCAGAGCAGGGGTGCCCCCTACAAAAAACCCTGTGACTTATCACATGTGATGTCACATGGGAAACATTCAGGTCACATGTGGTTTTCAGACAATATTGAATATCACATTTACACATTAAAAATGTTGAAAATTAGGTCATAGCCTTCAAATGGAGGAAAATAGACAGACCGAATGAATCTTCTAATGGGAAGTTGTATTATACAGATGAATTATTTAACTAACCAGTGCATGGTCACTAGGTGGCAGTGTGGTCACATGGCAAACAATGAATGTTGCGTTTCATAAGTTGGTCATTTCAAATCACACACTAACCCTGATCAGACTGGGATTAGTGTCCTCCTTCTTCTTCTGTGTTTCCAGGTGAGTCTGGAGGCCGTTCTGAGGGAGTTCTCCACTCTGCAGGATCTGAGCTCTCATCACAAGAAGAGATCAGCAGAGATCCTCAACCTACTGCTCAGAGACCTCAGTGACATCGGCAGCGTCCTCGGTACCACCGACCTCAAAGCTGTAAGAGTCAAACTCTTCTTCCACATTTCACTCTTCACACTGATACTCACTCTGCACAACAGTTGGTGAAACCAGAACATAACCCTGACCCTGATGAAAATGTTTCTGGTAAACTGTCTACAGGAATTCAAGATAGATGATAAAGAAGATAATCTGTTATCCCCTAATCATTATACCTGATTATACCTATATTCATTACACTCTCATTTTACCAGTTGGTCAGATGAGAAATGAAACGTTCAAGCTGCTGTTATAAGATGCTTCATTTACTGTTGTAGTCACTCCAAACACAGGCTCCAGCAAGGATGAAAAGAAACACTGAGTTTAATGCAGTCAGTGTGTAAAGATGCATTTACAACAATATGTGTTAAACTCTGTTCATTAAAGTGAATTCACTGTTTACCAATAACACCTGACAGCACTGACCTTTGAGTGAACAGAGTGTGAAGCTCCCTGAGCTCGTTATCTGTGTCACCATCCGGTTTAATTGAAGCTGCTCTGTCAGAGACCAGGTTTTACCACAGGTGGGAGCCAGGAGGACGTCAGACTCAATGTTTACTGACTCAGTCCGTCTTTACAGATGACGGAGACGAGCGGAGCGATGGAAGAGGAGTTCACCACAACTCGACTCTACATCAGTAAAATGAAATCTGAGGTAAAATCTCTGGTGAACCGGAGCAAACAGCTGGAGGTCAGCCTGACGGAGAACACCTGCAGGATGGAGGCCAGCGAGAAGGAGCTTAACACCCTTCAGCTGCTCGTCTCACAGGTAAGAGATTAAACGACCTGTCCAAAAGTTTTTCTTCCTGTTTGAGAGTCAGTACGAGTTCAACACCTGTTGGCCGCTCATCATCTCAGAGCAGGAAATCACACCTCACTGGCTCAAAAGTCTGTGACACATCTTTAGAACTAAAAGCAACTGATCATCTTTCCTAAGAAATAAGAAACTGTCTGTGCTGATGTGTAACAGAGCTGCAGGATGTCTGTGAGAGGACACATGTTCAAAATTAACCCTAACCTTTTTCAATGAATACAATCTAAATAAGCCATAATGTTTCATCTTTATTATTATTTTCCTCTATATTGACCGTCCTGTTTGTGATAAGGTTGTTGTTGTTTGTGCAGCTCCAGGCGAAGATGGCGTCTCTGACTGCTGACCTACAGACAGTGGAGCAGAAGAAACGGCAGCTGGAGGAGAGTCAGGACGCTCTGATGGAGGAGATTGCCAAACTCCAGGCTCAAGGTCAGACAGTGTCACCACTGTCAACACTGCTCTCTGATTGTGTGGTTAACCTCACACAGTTCAGCAGATCCAAGACGATAACACTCTTGCATGTGTGTGTGTTTTCAGATAAAATGCATGAAGTGACGGTAATGGACAAAGAGAAAGAACACATGAGCAGACTGAATGATGCTGTTGAGATGAAGGTAAAATCATCACATCACACATCGGAGCAGTGTAGTGTTTTTCAATATATTATATATTTTTTAATACAATCTATGAGCGTAACAAACTAACACAGCGCTGACGTCACTCTGCGTTTCTGTCAATCAATTCAGCCAAAGATCTCACACCAAAAGTTAAATGTGGTTCCTCAGGTGTCATCAGTGATCCCTTTCATGTTTGTAAGCTGATGATTTTTCAATCACAGAAGGCACACTGTCAATAATAATAATAATAATAAGAATAACTTTTTATTTATAGCAGCTTTCATACAAGAAATGTAGCACAAATTGCTTTACAACAAAGAAATGACATAAAAAAGACAAAAATAAAAAAAAAGAACATAAAAACGTATTAAAAGCATTGATCTAAAGTGAAAAACATCAAAAACATTCATATAAAATTAATCAATCATTAAATAGTAATAGACAATTAAAAGAAGTGCTGAGCACTGCATAAATGTGGTGCAAAGCGCAAAATTTCAGAACTAGTTAAAGGCTAAAGTGAAGAAATAAGTTTTGAGCTTTCTTTTAAAAATACTTAGTGAGCTGGCCTCATATCTATATCTATAGGTAGTGTGTTCCATAGCTTTTGGCCGTAACTGACAAAGGCTGCATCCCCAGTTGTCCTACTTCCCTTCCGGCTGTTGCTGGAACCTTTAGTAACGCAGCAGTGGGTGACCTCAGTGTTCAGGTACATAGTTAATCAGGGAGTTAGGGATGTAGCTTGGTCCTTGCCCATTAAGGCCTTTGTATATATCCTATATATATATACTGATGTGCTCTCTCCTCTTGGTTCTGGTTAATAGCTGAGATGCAGAGTTTTGAATGAGCTGAAGTCTCTGGGGTTTTTTTCGGGAGCCCAGTAAAAGTGCGTTGCAGTAATCAAGTCAGCTTGAAATGAAGGCATGAATCAATCTTTATATATATAAATAAATGGCCGAACTCTAGCTGTTTCTAAGGTGGAGAAATTATGTTTGTGTCACCTTGTTGATGAGGGACTGGAAAATTAGATCTGAATCTGAGATAACACCAAGACTTGTACCCTCAGATTTAATCCAGGGAGTCAGTTTCCTCAGGTTATTGAACAGCTTTGTTTTTTTTTGTTTTGGGACAGACTAGTAGGATTTCAGTTTTGTCCTCATTTAACTTTAAGTTGTTACTCATCCATTTATTTATTGCTAGAAGACAGGTAGTAATGGAGTTTATAGCTGCAGCATCATTTGGTTCAGCAGAGATGTACAGTTGTGCGTCATCCGTGTAACTATGGAAACATACATTGTGCTCTTATAAATTGTTTTCTTGAAGAAAGGAGTTTATCTGCACTGAAATGATCTTTTCAAGTATCTTACTAATGACTGGAAGGTTGGATATCGGCCTATAGCTGCTCAGAACAGTAAGGGTTTTACAACAGCAGTTTTGAAGGCATCTGGAAAGATGCCATTTCGAAGAGATATATTAATAAAGTTCAGTACATGACCTGAAACGCTGTTGAACAGAATCTACACGAGGTACAGGAGTTCCACTGAGTCACAGTCCTGCAGAGCTCAGATCAAGTAATACAGGTGAACGTTCCCATGGTAACATTTTTTTTTACAGGGTTTACTGAGATCATCCTAGTTAACATCAGCAGTAGTCCTGGCTCTGATTGAGGTCATGTGTTATTGAAGAACAAGGCGAGCTGCAGAGGGGGTGGGGCGGTGTTGACTAGCTGCTCAATAGTGGAGAATAATATTCTTGTCTGTAATAATCTTTTCTTGCCAGGTGCACTGCTTTGTTAAAGGCAGTCATGGCTTCTTTATATACAGTGAGTCGAGTTTTCCTCCATCTTCTTTCAGCTACATGGCAGGTTTTTTTGATCTCTTATTCAATGTGAATAATAAACTAAAACAAATCCGTAAGTATCTTCAAGCCTGTTGTCATGGCGACCAGACTGATCCTTTAAATGTTTGAGTAAAAGAAGTGGTTACACAGAAGTGTGATGCTACTGCAGATAAATGAAGTGGAGAGAACTGAGGTGTTGCTGCTTTGTGTTCTGTAGAGAACTCTGGAGGAACAGATGGAGAACCACAGAGAAGTTCATCAGAAACAGCTGAGTCGACTCCGAGATGAGATCCAGCAAAAACAGAGGAATGTCGACCAACTCAAAGAGTAAGTAATTGGTTATTGATTATTATAGGTGATCGGTAATGTTGTGTTTTCAGCTGTTCTGTGTTCAGTCACTTGACTTCATCCAGGAAAAGTTCATTATTATTGTTATTATCTCTATCAGTTCCACACTGCTCGGGATTTAGTTTAAGTTTGTCCTTTAACAAAAATTACTCAGTTTTACTCACATTCATGACATTAATGTGGAAATTCTCTCTCTGTGAAATTTTGTGAATGAAATGTAGTGTGAGTAAATGTACGGTATGTTTGATTGTTGTTTTCAGTGTGAATCAGTTTCTGCAGCTGGAGAACAGGAAGCTTCAGTCTGACTTTGACAAACTGAGAGCAGAGGATCAGAACAAAGACCAGAAACTCCAGAAACTGCTGTAGGTTTGTTGCTCTGTGTTCAACAAGCTGCTGTCTTTACCCAAAACATCCTGACTCAAATTTCTCTCATTTAAAAAGCTGTGATGAAGTCAGTCTCCATCCACCTGCTGTACTTCAGTCTACACATAAACAGAAATATAAAGAGTTTCTTGTGTAAAGTGTAAAAGTTATGTATAAAACAGAAAGGTCAGATCTCCACATGGTTTCATCGTTTGAGCTTTGACTGGATCTTTTAATTACCTTATCTTCTTCTTCTGTGGTTTAATGGCAGCGACTGGAGAATCAGCTCCACCCGCTGTTTATCTCCATCAATCAGGAAACAAGACAATTTTTATATTGACCATTTAGAAACCTGACTGCTCATTCACTCTGTTTGCCTTCATCAGGCAGGTTGGTAGACTCAGTCTGTTTGTGTGATTCAGGTTCCTGAATGAGAAGAGGGAGCAAGCCAAAGAGGACCTGAAGGGACTGGAGGAGACAGTGGTACGTGATTTATATATTTTTTTTACATTCATCATATGTGTCTGTGCAGCAGCGACAGATCTGAGAGTTTTGTGTTTCATCCAACAGGCCAAAGAGCTGCAGATGCTGAATAACCTTCGTAAACTGTTCGTCCAGGACATCGGCTCTCGAGTGAAGAACGTGAGAAAACAATCCCACTCCTTCTGTTTGAATTTCTTATCTTGGATTTCAGTGTCTGGTTGTCAAGATTAGATCTGTGGTGCTCCTCATCACTGTGTCTCAGTGAGAGTCCAGACACCAGTCTCTGTGTTCAGTGATGGACCTGAACATCAGTCTCTTCTTTAAACAGAGTTCAGAGAACGACAGCGACGAGGCCGGCGGCAGTCTGGCTCAGAGACAGAGGATCGTCTTCTTAGAGAATAACCTGGAGCAGCTTAGTAAGGTCCACAAACAGGTGAGTCACCCACAAAGAAACATCCACACCTGTCCACTCACCTGCCAGTCCGTACCCTCCCTTCAGAAATACACTTTACAACAGTGGGAGATTTGTTCCCATTCATTGTCCTTTTAGAAAGGAGGGATCCTTTATTTAAATCACACGTCAACAACAACCACAGGAGCATCGTAAGCAGAATGAGTCATCGGCCTCATGACATTTAACCCTTTTGTGTTCACCAGCTGGTGCGGGACAACGCAGACCTTCGCTGTGAGCTGCCCAAGCTAGAAAAGCGTCTGCGGACTACAGCAGAGCGAGTGAAAGCCCTGGAAACCGCCCTGAGGAATGCTAAAGAGTCAGCTGTGAGAGACCGCAAACGATACCAACAGGAAGTGGACCGCATCAAAGAAGCTGTCCGCTCCAAGAACGTCTCCAGGAGAGGACACTCTGCTCAGATAGGTGAGTTACAGCAGCAGTTTGTCCTGAGGGGGGATTCAAATCTAAAGGGTTCATCCCCTGAGAAGCAGGAATGGGATCAGCTGTCTCACCTGTTTCCTGTCTCCATGTAGCCAAGCCAATCAGAGCCGGACATCAGCAGCCATCATCCTCTCCATCCACCAGACCGACCATCAGAGGAGGGGGGGCAGTAGCATCTAGTCCACGTCATCACTCCCCCCGACAGCAACCACCACAACAACAACCCCATCAGAGCCACGGCAAGTAGACTCAGGTGAGTCAACCACACAGCAACCACACAGCAACCACACAACAACCACAGCAACCACACAACAACCACAGCAACCACACAACAACCACACAACAACCACAGCAACCACACAACAACCACAAAACTCACACAACAACAACAACCAGTGAACTGAACTTGACTTCATGTAAGTTGTTGTAAATGGAGTCTTCTTTTCTCTGGTGATGATATGTTATATCAGTGGAGATGAAGAAACTCTTGTCTCATCATTAAAGGACCAGTGTGGAGGATTTAATGCCACCTAGTTGTGATGTTGCAGACTGCAACCAGCTGAATACCCCTTCCCTCACCCCTTCTCTCACCCCTCCCTGCCTAGGATGGAGGAGAATCCTTGGTGGCCTTCAGGTCTAAACGTGAAAGGTCCTCTCTAGAGCCAGTGTTTGGTTTGCCCACTCTGGGCCACTGTAGAAACATGGCGTGCTCCGT